GACATAGCCAATCAGCTACTGACACGTAACTCGCCTTTGGCGCCACTCGGTCAGTTTGATGAGTGAACGGCAAAGCCTTCACGATTCTCAATACAAATTGTTTGTCGGAGCTTTCTCGAATTATGGCGGCTAAAACATTAAAAAATCCGTATTGCTGGCAGACAATGAGGTTCAAACTTTCCTAGAAAGGGAAGAAACCAATATACTATAAGAAAAAACCGAAAGTTGCGTAGTCATTGGCTTTGGTGTTAGCATTTCTCTCGTCTGAGAATGAAAATCGACAACTTGAAGATTTGCCGCCAGCCAATTTTGGCCGTTTACCTGAAAGACTTCTTCTGTCGGTAAGGACAAAGTCAATAAATAAGAATTTTGTAAATTGAAAATTACGACCATTGTTGTTTTTGTAATCATGATTCAACGCATTTTTCCATCTTAACAGTCAGCGCCAACGCACTCTACAATTGTTCTTCGAGGATCGTCGATTCATTATTTTCATTCATTAATGAAGTCGGCTTTTCTTCCCAGTAAAGGGCTAAAATAATACATGGTTGCTTGTAGATATGGAACTTCTCTTCGAGTGTTTAACTCGATAGTTCACTCGTTCGCTGCGCTCACTCGTGAGCTATCGAGTTAAACACTCGAAGAGAAATTCCATATCTACGCGCGCCCATGTATTATTCTCTCTATATATAGCACTATTAACTTTTGCAGCTGATTCAATAATTATCAATTTCTTCAAGGTTTTCCCACATTTGTCAACTTTTTTATCATATTCATTCCCGATTTTAGAACTGGTATTTATAACATGGCAGAAGAAGCCCTACGATCAACAAGTCCTAAAGCAAATTTCCATCGCCTGGCACGATTACTGATGCGTGGCGGTGTGAATCTTTTGCGTGAGACTTTTGACTCCATTCACTCGCCAGCTGACCTCCCTTTGAGACTCGCTAATCCTGCCATGCAGGCACAGCTGAGAGGAGCACGACTTACCCAGCCAGAGATGGTTTGTCTGAACCCATCCCCAGGGGTGTATGGCGAGTCCAACGATTTTGACATCACATTAATCTTCAAGTTATTCAGAACAATTTGCGGCCTGATCCCTCCCGCTGGACCGAGAGGATGGGATGATTTACCAAACGACTCAGACCACACTCTGGTGGCAGATTTAGTGCGAATAAAATATTATCGAAATGAGATTTATCACAATCCCACTATGGAAATATCTGACATCGATTTTATTCCTCTCTGGGAGGAAATTAGTGAGGCTCTGTTAAGAATTGCGACAAATATTAGTCCTGCAAAGAGAGAGGAATGGGAGAAGTCCATTTATGATCTTCTTCGTAATCCTTTGACGCCAGATGAGGAACGATGCATTAAAGAGCTAGAGACCTGGTATAAGCAAGATATGGATGTTAAAGATGAATTGGTGGATGTTAAAGATGAATTGGTGGATGTTAAAGATGAATTGGTGGATGTTAAAGATGAATTAGTAAAGCTTAGAGAGGAACTGAAGTCTCGACAACCCGCTTTCGTAGGTCAGTAAAAGAGTAACTTTAAGTCTCCATCAGACAAAAATATGGAATCATTATCCTCAGTTCCATTTACTGTTAATCCAATGTTGCCATTTTTCCCGAAGATCCTCATTTAATTACTTTGAACTTGTATATTTGATTTAAAAATTAAATTTACAAAACACCAATAGTGCTCTTTTTTGAGTTCAAATGTAGGTTAATATATTTTTTCCTATCAGTCATACAGATGAACGTAGCTGAATATCATCAAGCCGCTGGATCCGAACCGACTTTCCTTGCACCCAACCTACTACTACCTCAGATGGAACAAGCAGCGGGAGCTGATGACCCTGAACCAGATAATCCACCAGACATAACTGTTTGGAACGTAATTTTATCATTTAAAGAATCAGTTGATTTATTCTTACGATACTTATGGTATAAACTTCGTCTTCGAGTGCGTAACAACGAGGTAGGGAGCTGGCTTGTAACAGTTGAATGCAGTTCATTGCAAGTCCTTGAAGGAGTGTGGGAAGATTATCGCAGTGGTCATCTTAATTCAGTTGCCCAGGAAATGCTGATAACACCACAGGTTTTGGCGAAACTTGGTCTCACTGAGCTGAAGCTGAAGACCTTTATTTCCGAGGATCAGTATAAGAAAGGGAAAAAGCTGTTAGAGGCGAGCTCAGGTGATTATTGCGAGCTTGCCAACATTGAAGTCAAAGCGTTTTTATGGTTATTATTGATTCGTCACCGAAAAGGAATTATGGACGGTGATTTGCAAATTAAGCTCAGTTATGTATTTTTCACTATCTAGAGCAAGCTAAGGGTCTTAATGGTCTTTGATCAGATGCAGCAATTAACGAGTGTAGTGAACTTAAGAAAGTAAACGGAGGTGAAGAATTAGACCTGAAAATTGAATCAACTAAAAAACAGTTCTTACTACTTTTCTATTTGATTTGTTTTCCCGTTTTCTTAATTTTAATTATCAAAAGGAGCGGAAGACATGAGCGAAATTCAAAGCGCCTTTCAAGCTACAATCACAAAGGCTATTTCCGAGGGATCTATCGAGTCAGGTAACGTAACGATATTTAACATGGTGCCTTGTATCCAGCCACCTCAAAGATGGTTAAACTTTTACGAGGCAGTTTGGGATTTGTATAGCACCGATGCTCAGGCCTCAACAGAGAGGGCAGCTTGAACCCTTCATTGTTCAGGTACTCTCCGCATTATGTTATGCCCTTACATCATCTTCAATAGACATAGCTCTGCAAAAATGAGAGCCATGGTTTGCTGAGGAGAATTCCGATCCCGCAGAAATCGTTGTCGACGCTTTGGATCGGAGACGCTCCTCTCCGGGAAAGAGAAACAAGAGGCTGTCTGGTTGTCTGCCTCGTATGCGAGCTAATTTTGTGTCGCACGACTTGTGGCCAAGAAAACTGTTGCATACACAAAAAGATGACTTTCTAGAATTGAATCGGGTGACAATTTTTCACGATACAGTCAACTCTCTCGAAAGCAGACAACCTTAGGTATTGAAAAAGTGTCCGTTAGTAGAAATGACCACTTACGAGAATTATTCCCACAAGCAGACACCAAAGAAAAGCTAAAGAAAAATAAAGTGGATGTCTGCTAATGGGAGAGTGTTATATCGGACTCTTGTTTATGTCAAACGAACGGACAGCTTGCTTTCCTAAAAAACAGATGGAGATTTGACAAAACTGATTCCCACTGCTCTGTTGCTCTGTCATATTTTTGTTGATTTGGTAAAAATTTCGACCGTTTTGAAGGGTGACCGCTTAATGTGGTGCCGCTTAATACAGGTTCAAACGTAATTTTGTATTTCATTTCGAATTCCCTATTTCCCAAAGGAATAACCAAGAAAAAATTGTATAGAATGTTCTGCACTAAATATCGACTCCCCTAAAAAAGTTTTTTCTCTTTGTTTCTTCAGAGAGGATTTCAAAACTCGAACAGGAAAACATTAAATTAAGGAGAAAAAGTAAGTCGAGCAAAGTGCCCTGTTTTAAGCAAACTACTCACAGCAAACACATTCTTTGTATTGACGACAAGCAGAGAAAAAAGTGTTCGCAGGTAGGTCTTTCTAATCAGTAGAGGCCATGCGATCCAACTCAGATTTTGGGAAATAGCTAACCTAAAACAGCGAACACTGCGGAACACAACGGAAGTATGTTTACGTCGGCTGAAGATCAAGTGAAGCGCCTAAGGTAAAGATTGTTTAAAACTAATTGCATAGGAGAGTTTGCTGGACTAACTGCATATTGTCAATAGGTCAAAATTTTTTGTCATTCAATTGTTAGAGGGAGCAAGAGAAAAGGCAGCGAAATTTTGTCATAATTAACGTCTGAAAATATTCTTTCTCAGAAATAACGCAACCACATTGTGGTCGGAATGCTGTGGAGCTGCCTCGATCAATTTATTGTCGGACTAAAATTTGGAAATTCCTAGAAAAGGTGTTGCTATTTCCGCTGCATAAGCTGAGATGCTTATAATGTCACGGGCTATATTTCTAGTGCAGTGTTCTAAGGAAGATTTTGCTTTCACCCATTGCTTGGAAATTTGAAGTAATCGAGGCAGGTTTGTGTGTACTGCTAACTAGCAGGCAGTTCAGCAAGTGTGCCATTGTCTCGTGATAATGAGCGATCCACCAAGAGAACAAGTTCTTTTTCTAGGAAAGTCGATATTTTTCTTCCGTATCTTTTAAATATCAGCATCGTAAATGGGCTGAGTTTTGTAAGAAAACGACATGTATTCTTAGTGCAGTGAGATAAAGCTAAGACATAAATTGGGGGGGGGGAAGTCTTTGCTCATGAAATATGTGAAACACTTCGGAGCTGAAGGTTGTTTTTTCTTTTTGGCCCACGTTAACATTAAGATGTTGGGTCTCACGAGGAACTGAAATTTTGACTACGAAGTGAGTTTCTGAACGAATTCACTTTAGAACGTACATATCCTTTGCCGGTACCGTTGAAGGAACTTTAACAAATAGCGGAAAGTTCGTGATCTTAAGACACAAACAAACTTCGGGATGCTGTCAGAATTTAACCTTTTCATCCACGTCAAGTTAAGAATTTTAAGAAAGAACATAAAATACAGAAAACAAAATGATTCAAGAATTCAGTTTACAATTTGGCTCGATTGAGAGGTCATATTATGTTTGTAGGCAGTTACTTTTGAGCAGGATATAAAACACACACACAACCCACAATTCCTCAAATTGCTCTGACGAAGGGCTAACGCTCGAACATCCGCTTTTAAACTCTTTACGATGGCCAGTTTAAGTTATCAACTCAGTTGATAACACTAAACTACCTTGTTATACTCTTGAGCTGGCTAGTTTCGTTTTGCTAATTCTTACAACGGTTTTGTTTCTTTGCCATAACAGGGAGGTCCTATGGCCAAAGGAGACCTCCACTGACCCACATTTTGAAAAGTATCTTAGAAAGATATCCAGATGGAGGACAAATCTTAAAGGTATGAATGATGATGCTTCTCTCAGCATTGCATCAGATAAGAAAAAACTTGTACAGTCAACCCGGTTTAAAAGAGCAAGTATACACTTCGTTTCTATCGATCGACTGAATGAATAGAGGGTACTCCTGGACTGGGAAAACATCAGCAGTAATGGAGTGTTAAAAATTGTTGAGTATAGCGTGAGGAGGAAGAATGATCTTCCGCAGTAATGATCGATTGACGAATTGATTAATACAATGAGGGGAACCGAAACCTTACGTGAATCGTGACCGAAGGCTACTTATTTCCCTGTGAAAGGAGAATACAACAGTCATATGTCTGTGACCGCCTACACTTTAAGACAAGGGTGAAATAATTCATATTTAATGTTCCAAGCAGAGATACATGGGACCCTTTTAAATCAGTGCTAGTGAATGTTCATGTTTCGTTTCCCTTTGTTTTGTTTTCCTGAAAAATGACAAAAACTCTTCTTACTGTCGATTCAACAATAATGAGTTGGTAATAATTTCATGAATTTAAAACACAAGCACTCACACATGAGAAACATGTGCTAACGAGTCAACATAAAATAAATGTTGTGGTACATAAATAAAATATAGTACAAAGATTTTCATTTCCTTCCTGTTAACCTCGTCGTTATTTGAAACCTAGGTCATATTGTCTTTTTTCGTGCAGGAAATTATTCAGAATGCAGATGACGCAGGTGCCACAAAAGTGTCCTTTCTCCTTGATTCACGTCAGGACTTTTACGGAGGGAACTCGCTTGTCGCACCCAGTCTTTCGCAGTTCCAGGGCCCTGCTTTATATGCTCAGAACAATGCTTTGTTCGAGGAAAGTGACTGGGAAAACTTGCAGAAACTAATGGATAGCAATAAGAAGGATGACCCTTTAAAAATTGGTCGATTTGGAATTGGCTTCAATTCTGTTTACCATTTGACTGGTAAGTTTCTTTAGGGGTGACAAAAAATCATTGCCAAGTAACATCGTAACAGATCATTGAAATTCTCGGATTGCAATGCAAAAAGAAACTTGCTGGGAACAGAAGAGCGGAAATCCTTACCGAAAAATTTTATCTTGTGTCTAGAAAAAAAATCATAACAAGTTACGTTCTAAAATCATCCGTTCAACTAAGCAACTGCACATCCTTTAAATGTACGTGTTGAAATAGATTGGGTACCTGCACATAGTGATGAGACAATTATTTTTACTAAACTGGTTACTTCTTATCACATGATTCAGATCTGCCCAGCATCGTGAGTGGAGATTCTATTGTATTTCTTGATCCTCACGAAATACACTTTGGTAGAGGGGAAACGGGTCAGCAATTTTCCCTTGAGGATGAACTCCTTGAAAATCACGAAGACCAGTTCAAGCCTTACGAGAATGTCTTAGACTGCAAAATTTCGACTCAATTTTACAATGGAACTTTGTTTCGTTTTCCCCTGCGAAGAGCACCGTCAGACTTATCCGAAAAGGTTTACAGTAAGGAAAAAGTCGGCAAATTATTTCAAGCCCTCAAAGAGGAAGCACCTGTCATTCTGCTCTTCTTGAAAAATATTGAAGAAATTGCTCTGTTTGAAACTAATGAGAGAGGCATTCAAAGACATGTCTTTACAGTTCGACTGAGTGACAGCTGCCGGCAAGAAGTAAGAGACAAGAAGATAATTTTTTTTAATCATTTGAGAAGGCTGAGCAACGGGCAAATTGAAAACATAAATCTTTCTTTAGATTTGCATGTCCTTGAAAAGACTGAAGGAGGAGGAGAGGTGGAAAATAAATGGCTTGTGTACCACCAGGTTGATGCTCGAAATTCAACTCTCAAAAAATTGTCCCTAGAGTTAGGTCTCCTGCCTTGGGTGGCCTTTGCCACACCAGTGAATGCAGTCACACTTCAATCTCTCTCATCAAGACCTGGAAGAATCTTCTGCTTCTTACCACTTCCACCAGACGCTGACTCCAAGACCGGTTTGCCAGTTCACGTGCATGGCTACTTTGGCCTCACAGATAATCGGCGTGGTCTTAAATGGCCAGGCCTTGACTGTCAGGATGATCCAACCGCAGAATGGAATGTGTCACTAGTGCAGCATGTTGCGAGTGAGGCCTACGCCAACGTATTGCTCCTTGTTAGAGATTCATGTGACTCTTCAGTTGGCGCAGATTTGGTGTACAAGTCCTGGCCAAACATTCAGAAAGTTGAGATACACTGGCAGTGTATGCTAAAGCACATGTTTTCGATTTTATTGAAAGAAAACATCTTCTGGACCCCTGCACATCGTGGTCAGTGGAAAAACCTTGGTGACGCCTACTTGGACAGAATGACAACCCAATTTCAGAATACATCCGATGAAACAAGACGCGCAGTTCTAGACACATTGACGCAAGCAAATGAGGCCGTTGTAATCGTCCCGAGCCACGTCATGATTGCGATTGATAAATACACGTCAATTTTTACGAAGAGCATCACTCCCACATTCTTGAGAGCTCTGCTGAAAAAGAAGGAAAAGGGAGTTTGGAAGATAACCAATGTACCGAAGGAGAAGAAGCTTTTACTACTCGAATTTGCTCTCGCGGACAAGAACCTCAGCGACATGCGAGGAGTTCCCCTTTTGCCCCTCGCAAATGGAAGTTTTGTTGATTTCCGCTCAATCCAATACAACCGAGAACCAGCCGCTGCTGTGTACGTTTCGTCAACAAACATTCCCCGTTCTATTTTCCACAACATGGACAGTAAGTTCCTCGACGACAACGTTAAAACTCCTGCCATTTCATATTTGTCGAAGGTTGCTACTGATGCCGAAAGTCCCAACACAATCCAACCCGTGCAACTCGTCAAATTGAATCAAGCCAAGACTCTCAAGCTCCTGCGAGAGATGCTTCCATCGGAATGGTATAGAGGAAATCATCCAGTACCTTGGTACCCCGGCAGAAATGGGCATCCGCCAGAGCGCTGGTTGGAGTCAGTTTGGAAGTGGATTCAGAGAATGTTCTCTGATCTCTCCTTGCTCGAAAACCTCCCGCTCATTCCGCACACATTTGCTGGAAACCGAAGCATAGTGAAGCTGAGTTCATCAAGTGTCGTCATCAGAAGACATTACCAGAGTGTTTATTTACCGCCGCTTATTGTGTCTTTGCTTGAAAAAACTGGCTGCATTGTTCTAGAAAATCTTCCATCGTACATTCATCACAACACCCTACATAGATACGTCGCCTCACCTGATCCTAATGGCGTCCTAAAGGTCTTGTCTACGTTGGATCAAAGCAGATGCGTATCAATGATTACCCATTGTTCATCTGATGAGAAGCAAGCGCTACGAAGTTTCCTCTCTTTCGCGTCCTCAAGTGTTGATCAAAGAAACCTCCTGTATAACCTTCCTATTTTTGATGCAGCAGATGGATACTCCTTCATTGCTCTAAGAAATGGATTTCAATTTCATGGTGTGTTACCCTATGACTTCAAACTTCCTCAATCCTTGCCGATACCAAGAGCGTCCTCGGTCATTACCTTGAGAGATAGCGAATCTCATACCCTAATTCATAGACTTGGAATCTCACCGATGACAAAAACAACCTTCCTACGAAACATTGTCTTTAGTGGCATACAGAGCAATTTCTATAGTCATCAGCAGATCTCTACGCTAATGTGCTGGGTACTTAGCCAGTATTCCCTTTTTTGCGGGGAAGACAGCTCATTTCATGCATCTCTTCAACAACTGCCCTTTGTAATCACCAGGAGTAATAAGTTGGTTACTCCATGTTGCGTTCTTGATCCACAACAACCCATTTTGGAGCAACTGTTTGAGAGCGAAAACGACAAATTTCCAAATGAAAGTTTCATCAAAGATGAAATCCTTCTACGTCTTCGGCAACTTGGAATGAGGAGTATTCCAAATAACGAGGACATTCTACATGTTGCTAGAACAGTTGATAAGATTCAAAGCGATGTGGGATCCCGTAAAGCATCAGCCCTGTTAGAGTTTCTCGACAAAAACCCACCTGACAAATTCTTGAGCCAAGCCCTGATGAACGAGAGGTGGGTTCCAAGAAAGCAGAGTCGTCCTTCTTCCTATCCTCGTGTGATGCCTTGGTTTTCAGGAAAAAAGCATTTCTACACACCTTCTGAAACGTTCAGCCAATCGAAAGCTACTCTTGTAGGAGCTTCAGCGCCAATAGTCTCCAAATCTTGTTCCAAAGCATTAGAGGCTGTATTTGGTTGGAACAAATCACCACCTGTCCACCACCTTTTAAACCAGTTGCGTTCTGCTTGTTTGGTACGATTGAATGACATGAACGGGAGTGCTCTGTATCATTTTCAAGTGATGGTAAAACAGATCTACGAAGAAGCATCCAGCAATGCTAGCTTCATTTACGCTGTAAGTCAGGATAACAGCTTCCCTCAGTGGATTTGGCATGGGTGTGGATTTTCATCACCGTCTAGAATAGCATTAACATCTTGCTACAGAATCGACTTGAGGCCTTACCTTTACATAGTTCCACAAGAATTTCAACTCCTTAACTCATTCTTCCAGCGATTTGGTGTTCGTGAAAAATTTCAAGATTCCGATTTGTTGCGTGTTCTGAAAATGATAAAAGACAAACATGACACCAGCAGTGACTATCTAGAAGATGTGGCAGATGATCGAAAGCTGTCACATGAGATTCTCCACTGGATAGTTAGAGATGGAAAGAAACTCAATCCAGAACTTCGAGAAAGTCTTCTGGTGCCGATTCACACCTGGGATAATACCTTGAAGTTGGTTCCATGTTCGGAGTGCACTTTTTGTGACGCAGAGTGGCTTAGAAAAGGAGGGACAGAACTTCTTATCACAAGCGAATTTCCAATGATCCACGAGGCTATATCTTCCAAAACCGCTGCTCTGCTTGGTGTTCCACCAATCAGCACCCGTGTCACTTGTGCAGAGGCTCTAGGTATCGAGCAAACAGGTCCCCACGAGCCAATCACCACGAGGCTGAAGAATATTCTGAACGAGTACAAAGAAGGGGTTGGTGTCTTCAAGGAATTGGTGCAGAATGCAGATGATGCTGGTGCAACAGAAGTTCAGTTCGTTCTTGACTGGCGCAATCACCCAAACCTGAGGCTTTTGTCACCGGGAATGGTAGAATGCCAAGGTCCCGCCCTGTTGGCATACAACAATGCAACCTTTACAGATGGTGATCTGAAGAATATATCGAGACTGGCAGGTGCCACGAAAAAGGAAGATCTCGAGAAGATTGGTCGCTTTGGTCTTGGTTTCAGTTCCGTTTACCACTTAACTGATGTTCCAAGTTTCATTACCAGAAGTTATGCTGTCTTTTTTGATCCAGAAACAACACACCTTGGCCACCACATACAGAATGCTTCCAAGCCTGGAATAAAGATAGATCTGGCGGTAAATGAGAACAGTTTAACCTGTTTTCCTGACCAGTTTGCACCCTTCAATGGGCTTTTTGGCTGTGACACTAGTCCACCCAGCGATCACGACAAGTTCTACTTTCAAGGAACTCTCTTCAGATTTGCATTCCGAACTAAGCGAGGCGAAATCAGTGATAAGATCTACAATAAGAAGGAAATGCAGTCCCTCATGTTTTCTTTCCAAGAATCATCGCCGACCCTTCTTCTGTTTTCACAGAATGTTAGAAAGGTGTCCTTCCTTGAAGTGGATGAAAATGCGACTGATTCTAAAGACTCGCGACTCCTCTTTGAGATCTGCAGAAAAAGTCAGACAGAATGTATACCAGTCGAGAATTCTGTAACGGAAGGTACCTTTCTAAAGTCATGCGCAGCATGGACAAGACAGTCCACTAGTCAGTCCAACCCTTCTGCCAGCTATCCATCTCCCAAACTAACGGAGCTCGTATCTGTGAGTTCCACCATCTCTCGTAAGAATGGAGAGAGGTGTCAAGAAACCCAGTCTTGGCTTGTGACCTCTTGTCTTGGTACTGAAAATTCTTTTCGGCTTGCAACAAGTGAGGAGGGTAAGAAGCAGGGACTCTTATCTGCCTCAGGAGTGGCAGCAAAAATTTGCATCCAGGGCGATGGCTTCGAAAAAGTAGAGGCAGTGCCTGGAGAAATGTTTTGTTTCCTTCCCCTTAATATTCCAACAGGGCTTCCAGTACATGCTAATGGTTACTTTGCAGTCACATCAAACCGCCGAGGAATCTGGGAAGGTACTACAGCTGATGTCGGCCGTCAACCTTTAGAAGTGCGGTGGAACCAAAGCCTCATGGAGGATGCATTGACTCAGGCCTATGTTCAGCTCTTTGGAAGTATGATTGTTATGCAAATACTAGGAAAAATCCCGTTGTATGATGTTTTCACGCTCTGGCCAAATCCAGACAAACTTCAGTCATCCGCGTGGAAACCACTCATCAAGAGCTTTTATCGAAGAATCGCGAGAGATAACCTTCCCTTAGTGCACACAGGAGGGGAATGGCTCCCAGTGACTGAATGCATTTACCAAGACCTCAAGTTACGGGAACTTCCGAATAGTGAGATCGTCCTTGAAAAGTTTGATTACAAAATAGTGCAACTTCCAGACTTTGCCAAGAAAGGATTTCAACAGGCTGGATGTATGGAAGTTATCAACCAACGTACGATGACACAAGAAAAGTTTCTCCAAGACGTCTTTTTCCCGAATATCACGGCAATACCCGAAGAGCTTCGGGATCCCATTGTGTGCCACCTCATGGATGAATGCCTTCGACGACATGCCAGCAATCGGTCCAATCAGCTTCTTGATCTATACGAATATTTGCTTTCAAATAATCGTTGTATTCCTTGTGGGCCAGATACAGGGCATTTAGCGCTTCCACAGGATCTGATATCCCCGAAAGGTGCCGCTGCGACTCTGTTCTCAGCAGACGATAGGAGATTCCCAGTTGGGTCATGTTATCAAACTAAGGAACGTCTTCTCATGCTTCAGAACCTGGGAATGTTATCAGATATTCTTGACTGGGAAACCCTGATTGAGCGAGCAAACTCTGTGTCAGTGCTCTGTAGAAGAGCCGAACAAGACGCTAGGAAGAGATCTGCCCGTCTCATCAAGTATATAAATGTTCACCTTGAGAAATTGGACCCCCCTACAGAATTGAATAGAGAGGATTTAATGGCAATCAGTATGTTTCCTACTCTTGCAAAGCCAGCAAACTATGTTATACCATGGAGAGGTACTGGTGATTGGAACAGTGTTATCCTTCCAGCGAAGGAAATGTACGACGAAAGGTATAAGTTTGTCGCAGGGTCCTCACGGCCAATCCTTGATGAAAGTGAAAGTGGCTGCAGTAGGTTAAGCAAGAAAACGCGACATCTTTTTGGTTTCAGCTTCCGTAAACCATCTGCCCATGAGGTTCTTGGCCAGTTGGAGCATGCAGTTCAAGCAATAGTCCAGTCGCCCCATGTGAACCAAGGTTTGGAACATATCTTCCATTGCATATACGATTATTTACAAGAACTTGTTCAGGAACCAGATGGCGAGGGAATTGTACATGCATTACAAGAAAAGAGATGGATACTGGTTCAAGGAAAGTGTCTGTCGGCCTCTCGGCTGGCTTTCACGTGGAAGCGATTTGGTGAGCCTTACCTGAACGAAGTGCCACAGAATCTTGCGTCGAAGTATCGTAGGTTATTTCAAGCGACAGGAATCAAAGAGCACTTCTCCACCGAAGACGTCATTTCTGCACTTTACGAGCTCTATGAGGAGAAACAAGGAGAACGTCTGTCTACGAAAGAGTTTAAAGTTTCAAAATCTTTGATCGAGGAAATATCGGAAGCCTCAACGGAATCCTTTGAAACGGAAAGGGGGAAGATTCCTCTGCCCAACCAGAATCTATTTTTACAACCAGCTGAGAAATTAGCCATTAATGATGCGCCATGGGTGGCTGCTAGAAGTGGTATCGACTATGTTCACAAGGACCTGCCAATTGACCTTGCACACAGGCTTGGAGCAATTGATATTCGAACAAAGAAACTATCAAAAATATCTCGTCCAATCGGACGTGAGTTTGGACAACGAGAGGAGCTTACTGACCGTTTAAAAGGAATTTTGAAAGCATATCCATGCGATGTTGGAGTCCTAAAGGAGCTTGTTCAGAACGCTGATGATGCAGGGGCCACTGAGATACACTTCATCGTTGACCCTCGTAACCATCCTACCGACCAGCTGTTAAGTGACAACTGGAAGGAACTGCAAGGTCCTGCCCTGTGTGTCTACAACAACCGACCATTTTCCGAAGAGGATTTAGAGGGGATACAAAGGCTTGGAATTGGAAGCAAAACAGACGATCCTACAAAGACAGGTCAGTACGGAATTGGATTTAATGCCGTCTACCACCTAACAGACTGCCCAAGCTTTATCACAAATGGAGACACGCTTTGCATTCTCGACCCCCATTGCCGTTACGCTCCTCAAGCGACAAAGGAGAATCCAGGACGTATAATTGGACCAATCGGTGCGGAGGAACGATCGGATTTCTGTGATGTATTTCCTTGCTATCTGGAAAACCTGTTTGATTTGAGTTCCGCAACTATGTTCCGCCTTCCTCTCAGAACACAAAGCACGTCGTCAATTTCTCAAAGACGGGTTTCCCACACAGAAATGATGAAATTTATGAACCTGTTGGCTTATGAAGCTAAAGAAATTATTTTGTTTTTGAACCACGTGAAGACTATAACTCTGTCTGAAATCAAAGGGGGACAGCTAACAGAAATTTACTCGGTTTCGGCACAGCTAACACCACACGATGAAGCACAACGCGCGAGGCTTGCAAATCATATCAAGATATCCAAGACTCTGGAGACGAATCAAATTGAATGGCTCGGAATTACATATCCTCTTATTGTTCAGGAACATGGATTACGACAGGAAAAATGGCTTATTCATCAGTGTATTGGTCTCCTGGGAAGTACGAGTGAAGAAGTTCCTAACGGTAAAAGCTTTGGTCTCCTACCTCGCGGAGGAATAGCAGCAAAGGTTTCAGAGAAGTCAGAAAGCTCAAAGTTCCATTTCAACAAGAGAAGTGAACCAAGGCACAAGGCCTTCTGCTTTTTGCCATTGCCAGTTAACACAGGGCTCCCAGTTCATGTGAATGGTCATTTCTATTTAGATTCTGCACGCCGAAATTTGTGGCGTGATGAAAAGGAAGAAGGATTCGGAAGCCAATGGAACCACTTCATCAAAACCAAGATTTTGTCCCAGGCGTACATCTCACTGATGTTAGTGGCGCGAGGACATTTGCCAGGGTCGAAAGAAGAAGATGCTGCTTGCTTCCCCAGGGCACACAATCTCCACAAAGGAATGCGATGGTATCATAATCTATTTCCAAATTTCAAATCTGTAGAAAGCCAGTGGAAAATTCTGGCAGAGGCAGTATTCAAAATGATTTGCGTTGTGGATGCTTATTTGCTTCCCTTGACCAAAAAGACCGCTGAGAAAACTATGGAGGCCTCTCAAGCTCCTCAAGCTGCTGCAGTTGTCCAGGAAGTATTTAGGTGCTGTTGGCTTCCTCCCTCACAAGGCTTTTTTAACAATTTGAATTTATCTAGTGAAACCGAAAGCGATCTATGCAAGATACTTTTGAGAGTGGGTTTCAAGCTTCTTTATTCCTCGGTGACACTCTTTAGGGACTTTAAAGAGGCAGGCACAAACGTGAGAGAGATCACACCCGAATTCGTCATTCACTTTCTCAAGGAGAACCCGCGTAGCATCGGTACGTTACCATATCCTGTTGGAGAGACAACGCTTGGCTCTGTGAGGGGTGTTCTCCTTCTCTTAAGCTACTGCATGAAAGCAAAAAAATTTCCCACAGAAATGTTTGGTTTGCCTTTATTGCTGACTGAAGACAACATTCTTAGGAGATTTAAGACAGATGGCCAAGTGTTCTTAAGCCTGTTTGCCGATTTGGTACCAACTCAGCGTTTTCGATTCATCCAACACACATTAGCCACAGCTTTACTTCATCACTTCAAGAAAGATATTTTCGCTTCCGATCAAAGTGTTCTCCGGGAATTTGACATCAGTGCATTAGCATTGCTTCTACCGAGTATGGCAAATCCTGGCTGGTTTGAAACAAACACTCTAATAACATGGAATGTGAATGAACAACCGTCTGAAAGCTGGATGCGACGGTTATGGGAGTTCTTACACAAAACCTATATGAGGAATCCGGAAGCCTTTTCTCTAGACCCCTTACAAAATTGGCCCATCCTTCCAACTAAGTCAGGGAAGTTAGCACCAGTTTCTAAAGGAAAGGTAATTCTTGACCTCACCCGTTCAGATTCGTGGTCACCTGGCCAGGAGCATGTTACTACTTTGTTAAGGAAATTGAAATGTCCAGAAGTTAATGTCAATCTCATCAGCGATGACGGAAGGTGGGATGTATCGGACATACTGAAGTCTAGCGTCTCCTACCCCAACTCACCGCAAGATGTACTGAAAGTACTGGATCACCTGATGAAGGATGACGACATTTCCAATTTTCTATCCGAGAACGACAAGATCTGCATGTTGCAATTCTTTCAAGACGATTTAACAACTTTAAAGCAAGACCGAACCTGTACTTTTATCGTGAAAAGCCTACCGTTTTTCAAGACCTTCCATGGAGAATTTGTCAGCCTTGAAAATTTTAAATCAGTTTACGAAATCCCAGTGGGTATACCAACTGATGAGTCGAATATCTGGATGAGAGGAAATAACTGTGTATTTTTAGCGCCCGAACCCAGGTTGACCCGCCTGTACAAGGATCTTCTAGGTGTCGGTGATAAAACACATACAGATTGTTATATCAACTTCATTTTCTCAAAGTTTCCCTTTCTCCAACCGAAAACTCGAATGCTTCACCTGGACTACATTAGACAATGTTTACTGGCTCCGTACTGCAACGAAGAGCAACAAGCAACAATTCTCAAATCTCTCAGCACCTTGGCATTTATTCCAGACGCCAATGGCACGTTACAAACTGCGTCCTATTTTCATGATCCAGGCGTACAAGTCTTCGTGGAAATGTTGCCACGTGAAGCAAAGCCACCAGAGCCGTTTAACAATATAACGTGGCTGGAGCTCCTTCGCAAAATCGGCTTAAAGCAGAAAGTCAGCAAAGCTGAATTCCAAACCTTTGCCAATCAACTGGCTTCTCAAGCGGTACAGACGAGCAATTCAGATTATCCTTCATTGGAAAAGAAGTCAAAGACACTTGTTAAGCACCTCTTAAGAGACGACACTCTGCACGATGCAAAGTTCCTTGTGGACCTCTCCACCATAAAGTTTGTAGCCTGTCGAAAGGCGAGTGACGACTTAAGTCTCCTTCGCCGGCAGTATTTGGTACCTAATCGAGATCAAATTCCTCCATTTAACCATTTCAAGCATTCAATTCCATACATGCACGAGGCACTTGCATGGACTACTGCATCTCTTCTCTTTGAGTGGGCTATTCCAAACCCCCAAAAACCACTGCTTAAAAACCTTCAAGTTTTCATGAAGCCCTCACTGGAACAAGTCATCAGTCATGTTGGAAAACTTTCACAGACTCTTTCAAAGAGTGCAGATCGAGAACAACCAGAACCCAAACGGCAACGTCTAAGCCAAATCATGACAGAAGTTTATAAATTTCTTACAGATACTAGCGCTTGTAGCGGTACCAATTCTAATGAGTCTTGTTCAGTCAATTGTGATACAATTTGCGAACAGCTTTCCGATATTCCTTGCGTTCTTGTAGAAGGTGGACGTGTCTTCGTCCGCGGCAACCAGCTGGCATTTCACCTTGAAGAAGAACAGCCGCCGTACCTGTACAGAGTTCCTCGAGAATATGGAAGCTTTGAACACTTGCTCAAGCGACTTGGAGCTATGGAGAAAGCAACACCAGCGCAGTTCGTTCAAGTTTTAACTAATCTCAGAGAATCTTGTGGAGACGAACAGATGCACCCCAATGAATTAAAAGTTGCGAAACGGGCTGTGTTTGGCCTATTTACTACTTTGCACGCCATAATCGACCGAAAAGAAGATAGCAATGGAAGCAACCCATTAGCTGAAGTCCACACCTTGTATCTTCCAAACAGCAAAGAACAGCTCAGGCGATCTACAGACTTGGTCCTATTTGATTGTCCTCAATTCAAACGTCGTCTGTCAGATTCTATTTTCGAGTTTCTTGATGACCTAAAAAAATGCCAATTAACGATGGAAAACCCCAGTAAGCTAATTGACCTTTTGCCAGACCACTTGAAAACAAAGTCCTTGGCATCCTTGGTGAGGGAAGAACTCCAGGCCGAATGCAGAGAAAAGAAATGCCAAGCTGACGTGGAAGGGAAATGTGAGGCTACAGATCGCATTCGTCACATATTGTATTCGCCATATCTCATAAATGGAATTCTACGAATACTGAAGTCCCAGCACGACAAAGCCAAATTGACAAAAGAGGTCTGCGACAAAGTTCACAGTTTTCAAAAAGCACTAACCATCAGTTGCATGGAAACCTTATCCACGGAGTTAATCGATAATGAATCTGACACAATAATTCCTAAAAGTCAAAGACGAACTTACTCTGGTTGCTTCGTGGGGCAGGACAATGGTAAAAAGCATATCTTCATCCAACATGGTGCAGAGTCTGGTAATACGAGGAGACAGATATGCTCGGAAATCTACCGCCTGACCGGCTGCTTCCTCAATGAAGAGAACATATTACACTTGGCTGCTATCCTTGAGTGTACGTCCCCGGCTGATATTTCCATCACACTGGATAATGCTGGAGTCTGGGATGATGGAGAAGCAGCCGAAACACCAAGGTTGGAAGCGAGCCTTGGTTCTGAGGTCCCTGAAGAGTTCCACGAACTTCTAGACCAGTACAATGACTTCTATTTTCGCCCAGAAGAGTTTGTTGCATTTGAGAGAGAAGATTCGACCGAAGAGGAACCGAAGTACATTTATGCAAAAATTGTCCGACAAATTGAAAAGTCATATTCTGGTGAAGGAAAAGGAGAGAGTAACCTTCTTAGTAGGTATCTAATTGACATCGGCCAAGAAAGGAAAGAAGTCGACGTACTGGATTTGTATAAGTTTAGACGACCGCAGAAGAGCGAGGAAGAGGAAGAAGACGAGGAAGAGTCTATTTCAGAGTCGATGGAGGTTGTGCCTTATGAAGGAGCGAGTGGCGAAAGTACTGGACAAGCAGGGGTGGAGTCATCGAGGCCCGCTCAAGGAGCAAGTGAGTCACCTAAGCCTAGGACATTGGAAAGCGCTCTGAGAGAAGTGGAAGAGGCTTTTGTGGAAATTTGGAAGCTTCCAGAAGATAAAAGAAAGAAAGCAATAAGGCGACTATACCTGCGATGGCATCCAGACAAGAACATGGACATGCAAGACATGGCAAATGAGGTCATGAAGTTTATACAAAACGAGTTCGAAAGGTTATCAACGGGAAATTTGTCAAGCCGCAATGAAGGGTATCCAAGGCCACCGCCACCAGATTTCTCGGACTTCTTCAGGCGGTGGAATGAAAGAGCTCGACGACAGCGCTCAAGTTACGACAACTACCGCCGCTACAACCAACGATTTACAGGTTTCCCATCGCACTCGAGAAGGACCTACATGGCACCTAATCCACGCGTAGCGAAGGTGTGGATTCGTCAAAGCAAAGAAGACCTGCGGTCCGTAAAACTTCTCTTGACTGCCCGAGATCCACCTTACTACCTGGTCTGCTTCCAGTGCCATCAAATCGCTGAGAAATCTCTCAAAGCAGCTCTTTACGCTCTATCAGGAGTCGCAGATAGGCAACTGATATCTCATGACTTGATACTATTGGCAAATGATCTTTCACGGCTTCCTAGAGCTCCAGATGTGACACCGCAAGTGGCCAGGCTGTCTGACTATTACTTGGGCACTCGATATCCTAACAAGCACATCCCACCTAAAGTGCCTGCTGAGGTGTTCCAAGATGTTCAGCAAGCACAGGAAGCGTTCAGACTGGCCACAGAAGTTTTGGAAGTACTAGAACAGGTTGTTGGACCATAATCACTGTTGATTACTCACATTTAGTCTCTGTGACTGTATAACCCTCCAGATACTGTTCAAATTAACTGCTTTACTTTACGCATCAGAATCTTAGAAAAATACTTAGAAAAATTTAAGCTAGCTAAATGGAAGGATACTACTAGCACTTCTTTGTCTCATCGTGTGACGTCGAATTTTGGCGGAAGTGGACTAATGTTGCTTAACATGATTCAAATATTCAACTGAAGAGAATTTGGCGTTTTGTAGATAAAATTAATCTTATCGCTAACTTTGTAGCATCCTAGCTGTTTTGTATTTCAAATTTTTTACCAGTAATATTTTACTGCAGTGACAAGGCTTTCTTCTTAAAGGGATTCACTGGATAACAAAGAGTCAGTTTATATCAATTTGTGAGTGTGTTTTACATTTCTCGCTGGTCATCCTTCGTTTGATTTTGATTGGTGGTGTTGGTTATAAAAAGTCATGCACTGCCAACTTGAAGTTGTGTTTCCGTAAAACGAACAGATACAAAATGACCTCATAAGGTGACCTAGACCTTTGAAAGAGTTCTTAATACTTTGTAGTTTGCCGAAGTTGTAGAAACAAAGTCGTATGGCAAAGAACCATAAAGTATCGTTACATTAATTTTTTTCTCGCCGTGGGAAAATCTTTACAAGTCTATATTTACTAGAGTTATATTAACGTTGAACTATCAAGAGCCTAAAAAGTGATTCTTTGTAGTTTGGAGTAATTTATAGAACTTTACAAAATTCTTACAGACCATTAAATAGAGAGAAATAGTAAATAGAGGATTAAGATTTGTTCGCTTGAAAAACTACCTCTAAGTATTCTACTAAGTTATGAGAAGTGTTACTCGCCTCATCATAAACTGGTGAGTATTGAGTGAATTATTCTATAAGCTTTGTTTTCTGGGAATTGGATAGAAGGGAGGGGCTTATTTGGGTTGAAGCCTAGGTTGTGTCTCCAAACGCGAATGAACTTCGTGGTCGTCCGATTTTGTTAATCACTCCTATGATTACAGACTGAATTGGACTCCACTCGGTCCTATTACTGTTGAAGATAATTTTTTTAAGTATTCCTTGTTGTTTATCTTTGTTGAATCACAGCAAACTTCTTGTAGGTTCATAACAACCTTGGTATCATTGTTAATGGCACGATAGGATGTGTAGCCTCTAAGTGAATAGCTGTCATCAGACACTCGCTCACTACCTCGTGTTCGTCTTGGGCTTCCAAAACCACGCCTAAAAGATGCCTGAAATGAAATGACACAGTAAGCAGACAGACACATCGTACGTAATAATACAATATCAAGCTCACAAGTGATGAGAATAGCGACAAATATCAATAAGGGGATTGTTAATAGATCCAATACCATATTCTGCGAACTTACACCATAAGAATTGTATGGCAGACAGTAAGGAGAATTACCAATGAGATCTACACGTTTCATTGTCATTTATTTACACTGGCAGGTCTTTGTATATAAAATGGCACAATGCAACACGGGACACGAAACAAAATAAGAGAATCACGAAAGCGTTACATAACATAACGCAACATGTCGTTGGTCAGGAATATCTGGCACTGAACAAGATCACATGACCTGTATATTATTCAGCCATATTAAAATGAATGGTACCCTGTCACCTAATAATTCACACCTGCGCCCAAACCAGGAATTTGAACGAAAGTTGAAAGTGATCACTCACCAAGCTTCAAATGCTATTGGATCGATATTGATGGCTTCTCGGATAACTTTCTCAGCCATAACAAGATTACCAAGTTTGTGATACACTGCACCCTGAAGAAACCAAATTAATCGAACAGTTTCACATATAAAGGGGGTAAGTTTCTAAAGAAACTGTGGTGCTACGTCGGTGGGAAAGTATAACAGGGTAATTTAGTATCATCAACTGAGTCGATTACATAAATTGGCCACCGTATAAAGGTTAAAAGCTGACGTTTCGAGCGTAGGGCTAACGAAGAGCTGACACCTAAAACGTCAGCTTTGAACTCTTTACAGTGGCCAATTTACGGTATCAACCCAATTGAATATACTAAGTTACCCAGTTTCACGTGTAAACGTAGCCGCGACTGACCTTGCTGTTCACATAGCACAATCTTGAGGAGGAGGAGGAGGAGGAGGAGGAGGAGAAGGAGGAGGAGAAACAATTGAAATTAGAAAAAAAAATCAAATTCAACTGAAATTAGCAGTCAATTTTCAATAGTTCCCCCCCTTTACACTCTGTTAGCGACGACTAATCCCCCTTTCGTGCCGCCCAAAGACCATAGGGTCCTGCTAAGACCTCCCCCCCTAGGATAAATAACGACTACTCTCTAATTGTGCAAATACTCAATTTATTTTTGAAGCCAATCAGGATTCGTTAGCCAGTCCAGTGTTATTTTGTACGTCTTACCAGGTGTTGAATGCTGGCCAAGTGGTTTGGATTTATGGAGATCGAATTATCGCAGCAATTCTTGGCCTCGGTAAGGTTTTCTTTAAGCTCGAAAATGCGGCCACGCTGTGTAGGAAAATAAAAACAAATTGAAAACAACCTCAACAAAAAACCATTTGAAGTCTACATATGGGACTGATTCGGAACTTTCTATGCGCACATCAGCATGCTATCCCAGCCGTTTCGTTCCTGGCTTTCGCTCGATCACCGCGTTCTCAAAGCGGTCGCGTCCTCGACCTAAAGCTTCCAATTAGGTAGAGAGCATTTAACTAAAGGGAAGATGATGCATATTAATTCGACAGGATTGTGAGATCTTGGTTATAAAGGGGTAGAGGGTGAGGCAGATCAATGTAAGGGAAAAAAAAATGGTGCCATATAAAAGAGTGGCACGACGGGAGGACCATCTAATTACTCCGTCCCCCGCTCCATTCTTCGAGAAGCTGTTTTAGATTTCCCACTATCTTTTTTCCAGTGGAAGTTGGACTAACATTTTTACTGTCATCCGCGTATTGGTGCACTGACAACACGCAAGCAAGACTCATACCTGAAACAGCACATCCGGGGAAAAAGGGAATATCAAATGCACCTCCTGAACGCATGCGCTGGCTTCAGTGTCCTTCTCCATGGCAACATACACATCAGCTGTATCAAAACACATCGCAGGAAATTGGAAATAGAAAATTGTATGTAGGTTTTCACCTTTCTGATGCAACAAAAGATGATGTAATGTCTTATCTTTTTTTTTTTCAAGAACCATGAATGGTCTAGTTTATGCCTTTTTTCGATCCCTACATATCCTGTCAAATCCCTGGTCAAAACCTAACCATGGCTGTTCAAGAACAATATGTACATTTCCAAACAACGAAATAACCAGAAATTCATCACGCTAAAAAAAATGGTTTACAAACCATGTTTAATTCAGCTGTTAATTGACGGGTCACTTTAACTTTATTCATGTTGACATTAAAAGATCTTTAATTGTAAACCAGATCATGATTCACAAGAAAAAAGTTGCCCAATCATGCTTCATGTCAAAAGTGCCTTGTTCTAAATGTTGTTGTAGGTTAATGGTTTCCGTGCAAAGTTGCAACACTACAGAGCATTGTTGGACAAGACACCTGGGATAGAAATGAGCCATGAAGAACAGAAGGAACTTTTAATTAAGTGTGAAACCCAATACACCGAAAAATGGTGAGTACTTACTCAGTAAAGCTTGGAATAAGTTACTGTACAGTTTAACTACACTGTATTTTTCAACCTCTCCTAAGTAGCTTATGGTTTTGAAAGAGCATAGTGTTCTTTTTCTTGAAGTCAACATTGAAGAAGAAGATAAAGATATTTTGAGCACAAAAGGAATAAAGGGGCATGGGGGCAGGGGTGATTTAACCAATAATATCTTATTTTAGGGGTTGAGAAGAACAGGGAAAAGTTTCTTAAATCAATTTAAAACAGCAAAATTTCTTTATCATTTAGATTCTTTCTTCATCCATGATCAGTTTTGAACATAATGCTTTTTCTGTCTTTTGACCCTTAAGAGTGAAAATGAAACAATCTCTTTGGTCATGAATAAGACACACAAAACAAAGTGTGTCTGAAATAAGCATGAACTGCATAGAGGTTTGTTGCTTGAGCATTTCTTGCATGCTGGAAGAGGACAAGTGAGATTAGTCACACCAGCTTATTTCTGCAAATATACTTGGTACATAGATATGCTTTTTTTTTCAGATTTCCAAAGGTATTAAAGAGTGTTTGTACCCCACATTCCCAACCTGCTATTCTCATGTACACTCCTCTCTATGAGTAGGTTTATCAAATTTTCAAAAAGCATGAGTATTAGACTGTGGTTATGGGCTTTACTGTGTGCAAAAAAAGGTGCATATGGCCTCTGCAACATGGATCCTTTGTTGAGATTTCTTCACAATTACAATAACAGTAATAGCAATAGTAGTGATAATAATGATGATAAAGTACATGCCCCATGCACATTTTAAGGTACACAAAGCACCTGAAGCTAATCTCTCTGTGTGTATTATTTCAACAGTGAGCTGCTGAGAAATTACAGAAATCTGCCAGCATTTGCAAAAGCTCTTGTCAAGGAGACAAAATAGTTGAAATTTTGTGATGTCAAAAATACCAGTTGGAAGATGCAGAGGTAAAAAAAAGAAACTGAGGATGCCTTTGTGCTGTTGGGAAGAAGCTCCATTGTCTTAGAATAGAGAAAATTCCTGCTTAATACAAGTTGACCACTTAATACAGGTTCCCCAGAATAGGGATATGGTTCCAAAAAACAAAAACAAAGACAAAAAAACTGCCATCCTATGCCATAATTGACCACTATTGTACAAAAACTTGCACAATAATTTATTCTCTTTGTCATCAGGTTGAAGTATGTTTGGCACACAAACTCTGATTAACCCTGCACAGTCAACCTCTTAAATGCAGACTTTCCATTTTCACAAATACTTTCACTCCTAACCTTATATTTCCATATGACAAGCAGGTGTAAGAGAAAGGTCTTTCTGTAAATTAGATTGAAATCACTTTCTATAAATTTTTGTCAAAAATTAATTATTTTTAACTTAATTTGATCAATTTGCCTTGTGAGGTGTGCCTTATTTTAGAGTATAGCTAAAACCAATGTTCTTATTCATTACTTTTATTCACTCCAAAGAAAAATTATGTATTCTAAGTTGAAATTTATAGTACCACTGTGTTGACTGGGGAAGAAGCAAATACACAGACAAACTGAGTATAAAGAATATTCTCTTTTGAAAAGATGATGTATCAATAACCATCTACACTGATCAGGTGTAGGCATTGGTAACTTACTACCATTCTGCAAGCTCCAGAAACACATCTGTGTGCATCCATGAACATTTTGAGAATATCTTTCATTTCACAATATTTATTAAACACCACTTTCCACCAAGAAAGCAAAAGGAACAAGTGATCATGTTTTGTTAACTAATAAAATACCCTTTTAATTTTCTCTGGTTAGGTTTTTGTCCAGCCATTCGTTTGTTCCTCTTGGGAGGCATTAGTTCAGTTGTTATTAATGTAGGCTTAGAGACCTAGGATCTTATTATTTCATGGATGTCATTACATGATCAGATAACTTTTTGCTAATACTCTGTTCATGTGATGATCGACATCCAGGAAATAATCAGTTCCCTATGTCTCTAAGGATGCATTAAGAAAACTGAACTAAGATGTTAAACTTATTCAAGACTTAGCTTTATATGTTTCTATTGCAATACTTTTGACAGTGTCGTTCCAAGTAGGATTTTGGATTTGGATTACATATTGACTTCATACACAGCCTAGTTTAGTGGTGGTTCCTTTTGGCTTATCTGGAGATAACAGGAACACCAGATATGTTTACTTTGTCTGCAGCATGAAGCCCTTTACTCCCAAGATCTCATGGTTAATTCTCTCCTCTAGCTTCTACTCATTCCCTTGTAAATTAGTTTCAAAAATTTGGTGTTAGGTCAAGAAAACAATTTCTACCTGTATAAGTTTTCACATTATCTGTGTCCTAGATACTGTATGGATATTATAGGAAGAAGTTTTGTGTGAATCACGTCTGGGAGTTAAAGAGTTAAGATGGGCATTGTTTTCAGGTGAGCTCCAAAGGAGGGGCCCTAAAAACCTGCAAATCTATTGCACACTTTGTTGAAAGAAAGAGATGCCTTCTTGTCTCTCTTATAGGTGTAATTGGAGTCCTGTTACTATCTGTGGCGATTTTGCCCAAACTACACCCTTAAAGGGTAAGCTTAAATCTGTCATGTTACCTCAGCGTTCTCCAGGGGAATACAGAGGGAATTAAGTTATGTTTAATTTTGTGAAGTCGATTTTCTCAAGGAAAAATAGATTTTTATGAAGCTGTGTTACTTTTGCAAAGAAGCTTGGAATATTTAGGGATGTATTGTTTGGTCAGGGATTTGCCACAAACTACATGATATTTTGTTCAGGCTTTCAGGGAATACCCAACCACAAGTTGGACCTTCAGCAGGTAGCTTGGAAAGTTAAACCATCAGGAGTGTTGGATTGAGTTTTCCCCATAATTCTCTCTTTTAATAACTTTCCAGGGTGTGTAGACTAACCTTGCCTTGGATAAGAAGAGAAAGCAGTTGTCCTAAATAATGTAATGGTTTTTTCAGGTGAAAGTAGTTTACTCTGTGCTGTTTTTTATTATGGTGCACTGAAGAAATTCTCACCACAGATTGGTGTTGTGTCTAAGTATTGTGTTCTCAGAACTTCATTATTCTTCTCATGTGTTCCAAATGGTGTTAATTAACACACCATGCTCTCAGGTTTGGCCCAAATTTTCCCTTTTGTTGTTGACCCAAACTGTCACTTTTAGTCAAGTCTACATCGGTGAAAGACAAATTTCTTGATGGATTTTTTGCCAGTTTGGTATTCCACTCAGTCCAGTTCCTTTCAACCAGCATTATCCTTGCAACCCGAAAATCATTTGATAAGCCTTTGCAGTGAATTAGTAATCGAGTATCAGAATGAAAGGATTTTTTTTGACTAATTTTAGTATTGTTCATCGTGGCGTAAAATAAATGATGTCACTTTCATTCTTATTGAAGCTTGTTGTTTCCACTGATGAATTCCATTTGTTTTACTCCATTTTGCCCCGGTAGAAGTTGGAATTTTTTCCTTCACTCAAAAACGAATGTGAGCGGCAAGTCTTAGCGAAAAATATTTGAGGAGTTATTCGCTTTTGGAGACACAACCTAGGCTTCAACCTAAACGAGACCCTCCCCTCTGTGCCATTCCCAGAAAACAAAGAATAATTCTCTCAATACTCACCAGTTTATGATGAGGCGAGGAAACACAACTTTTAACTTAGCAGAATACTAAGAGGTAGTTTTTCAAGCGAACAAATCTTAATGCTCGATTTATTTCTTTCTATTTAACGGATTATTAGAATTTTATAAAATTCTATATATAAATTACTCTAAACTACAAAGAATCACTTTTTAGGCTCTTAATAATTCAACGTTAATATTTAAAAATAACTCTAATAAATTTAGATTTGAAAAAATTTTCCCTCGACGAGAAAAAATAAATGCAACGATTCCTTATGGTTCTCTGCCATGGCAAAAACATACGACTGTGTTCCTATCACTTCGGCAAACTACAAATTATTAAGAACTCTTTCAAAGGTGTAGGTCGCCTTATGAGGTAATTTTGTCTCTATTCGTTTTACGGAAACTCAACTTTAAGTTGGCGGTGGAAGATTTTTTCTTTATTGTAAGCAACACCACCACTTAGAATAAAACGAAGGATGACTAGCGAAAGTTGTAAAAACACTCAAATTGATATAAACTTACTTTTCGTTACCTTATGAACCCCTTTGTGAAGAGAGCCTTGTCACCACAGTAAAATATTACTGGTAAAAAATTAAAACACAAAACAAATAGGATGCTGCAAAGTTAGCGATAAAACTAATTTTATCTATAAAACGCCAATTTCTCTTCAGTGGAATATTTGAATCATGTTAAGCAACATTAGTCCACTTCCGCCAAAATTCGACGTCACACGATGAGACAAAGAAGTGCTAGTAGTATCCGTCCATTTTGCTAGCTTAAATTTTTCTAAGTATTTTTAAGATTCTGATGCCTATAATAAAGCAGTTAATTTTTAACAGTATCTGGAGGGTTATACAGTCCTAGAGGCTATATGTGAATAATCAACAGTAATTATGATCCAACAAACTGTTCTAGTACTTCCAAAACTTCTGTGGCCAGTCTGAACGCTTCCTGTGCTTGCTGAGAATCTTGGAACACCTCAGCAGGCACTCTAGGTGGCACATGCCTGTTAGGATATCGAGTGCCCTCGTAATAGTCAGACAGCCTGGCTACTTGCGGTGTCACATCTGGAGCTCTAGGAAGCCGTGAAAGATCATGTGCCAATAGTACCAAATCGTTATATTTCAGCTGCCTATCTGCGACCCCTGATAGAGCGTACAGAGCTGCTTTGAGAGATTTCTCCGCGATTTGATGACATTGGAAGCAGACAAGGTAGTAAAGTGGATCTCGGGCAGTCAAGAGAAGTTTTACGGACCGCAGGTCTTCTTTGCTTTGACGAATCCACATCTTCGCTACGCGTAGATTAGATGCCGTGTAAGTCCTTCTCGAGTGTGATGCGAAACCAGTAAATCGTGGGTTGTGGCGGCGATAGTTGTCAAAACTTGAGCGCTGTCGTCGAGCTATTACATCCCACAGCTTGAATAAGTCCGAAAAATCTGGTGGCGGTGGTCTTGCACAACCTTTATCGCGGCTTGACGACTTTCCTTTCGATAACCTTTCGACCTCAGTTTGTATATACTTCATGACTTCGTTTGTAATGTCTTGCATGTCCATATTCTTGTCCGCATGCCATCGAAGGTATAGTCGCCTTATTGCTTTCTTTCTTTTATCTTCTGGAAGCTTCCAAATTTCGGAAAGTTTCTTTCGGACTTCTTTTATGGCGGCGTCCAACATCCTAGGCTTATGTAGCTCACCACAGTTGTCCTTACGTTTTGGTGTCGTTGAGCATTCCGCCCCCTCTGGTTCTGCACTCTGCCGATATGTTCCTTCGTGAGGTACGAGTTCCATTGTTTCTGAAAAACATTCTTCTTCTGGTTTGTCATCTTTTTCCAGGAATGTTTGTGGTCTCCTTATCTTGTACAGATCCAGTACATCGACTTCTTTCTTTACATGGCCTATGTCAATAAGATATCTGTCGAGCAGCTTACTCTCGTCTTTTTGCTTTCTTTTAGTTCTGTCCTTTTTGGGTTTTACTTTAGTGGTAACCTTGTTCGTAATTTTTGCATAGATGTACCTCGGTTCCTCATCTGTTGAGTCATCTTTTTCAAATGCAACAAATTCTCCTTTTCGAAAGTAGAAGTCACCGTACTGCTCTAGAAGGTAATGAAACTCTTCACGCACTTCTGTTCCAAGGTCAGGCTCTAGGTTTGGCGTATCAGTAGTATCCACATCTTCGGAGACTCCAGCCTTGTCCAATGTGGAAGAGATGTCTTCAGGCGACTCACACTCTAAAATGTCAGCCAGATGCAACCAGCTAACTTTGTCAATGTAGCATCCTGTCAGTTGATTTATCTCTTCGCAGAGAACCCTGCGTACGTTTCTGGGACCAACACCATGTTTGATGAATATATGCTTTCCACCACTTTCATCCCTTTCCACAAAACAGTCTATGTTCCTCGATCTTTGGCTGCCTGGAATTGATGTATTTGATCTGTTTTCCACGAGCTCAGTGGAAAGCATTTCCATGCAACTTATTTTTAGTTCGTTTTGAAATCTACGTACGTTTCCTCGGACTTCGTCATTCAGTTTGGCTTTCTGATATTGATTTTTTAAAATTCGTATCATACCATCCACAAACTTGGGAGAAAACAATATGTGACGGAGGCGATTGGTTTCGTGACATTTCTTTTCCACATCAGCACGGCACTTCTTTTCTCTGCATTCTGAGTGCAGCTCTTCCCTCACAAGTGCTGTAAGGGATGGCATCTTCAAGTGAGCTGGCAGAAGGTCGACAATTTGTTGAGGGGTAGCGAACGTCAGGTTGTACTTTTGTAGTGGATCTAGCTGCTTATACATGGCAATCGGTATACGGAGTTCATACCAAGGAAAATCAAACAGGACCAAGTCTACAGACCTTTCGAGCTTTTGCTCGCTGCTTGGAAGGTACAGAAGTTCGATCTTAGAGAGAGTATTATTAGCTGGCTCACCTTCCTTTTTGTGGTCTTGTAGGGCCCTCAGACTCGTAAACAGGCCGTGTACAGCGTGTTTTGCAATACTGACTTCATTGCGATGCATTTTCTTGTCTGGACATGAGGCGTTTAGTTTATCGAGTAGTTTGGCAAACTGTTCTGGTGTGGCTTCCTCTACGGCTCCAAGGCGGAGTAGCAAGTGCTGAAAAGATCCATATTCCCGCGGAACTTTATATAGATACGGTGCTAACTGCTCATCCAGGTGGAAGGATAGTTGGTCACCACGGACAAATACGCGGCCATCTTCAACCAAGACACATGATTTGTCAGACAATCGCTTCCCAATTACATGGCATTCTCGAGAGCAAGAGTTGAGAGAGTCACTTTCCTGGCACCTGCTCATACGTTGGAGGAACGTATACACCTCAGTCATGATATCACCCAGAAGGCGACGCTTTGGTTGCGGTATTTCTCTATCAATGGCCTTAAAAACATTTTGTGAGAGTATGGTGACGTGATTGATGACTTGATCCAGCGATGGATATGGGAAAACTCCAAGGGCTCCAAGCATTTCCTTTCCAGCATCTGAAACAACCCAATCTGGTAGAAGAGGCGCAGTTGTCCAGGCAAGTCGCTCCTTCATCTTTGGTACTGAACCATGGAAGTGAATGAATGGAAGTGTTCCATCTTGTACTTCTTTAGAGCAATGGTACTGCTTGTGAAGAGAAAGAAGGTTATCACTGGCCTTTGAAGATGCTACAAACTTTATCATAGAGAGTTGCCGTAAATACTCCGCTTCATGAAAAGACTCTTCACCCAGAAGATGGGTAACGAGAGTTTGAGACTTTTCCTCCAAAGTAATACGAGTTTTCTTGCTCATGTTCTCTGCATGTTTTGCAACTTCCTTTGAAAACTCTAGAAACTGATCTCTGCTAACTTGCTTCTTTAATCCAACTTCACAAAGGAGATCTAGCCAACCGGATTTCTCATTGAAAGGTTCTGGTGGCTTTGCTTCACGTGGTAACATAACTGCAAAAACTTTCACGCGTGGATCATGAAAATAAGATGCAGTTCGTAGTGACCCATTAGTGTCAGGAATAAATTCCAAAGTTCTAAGTGATTGTAGGACTCTAGTGTGTTGATCTTCATTAGAAAAGGGTGCCAACAAGAATCGTTTAACGTAGTTAAGATGAAGCATACGAGTTTGCTCCTTAAGAGATGGAAATTTGGGGAAAATGAAATTGATGTAGCAATCTGCGTGAGTTCTGGAAACAACATTTAGAACTCTATTGTACAGGTGGTCCAGCTTTGGTTCAGGTGATAAGAAAAGGCAATTGATTCCTCGCATCCAAACATCGCACTCGTCAGTTGGTAAACCCTTCGGGATGGTATATACTGATTTAGCATTTTCAAGAGAAACAAACGTTCCGTTAAAAGTCTTGAAAAATGGCAATCGCTTCAGAATGGAAGTCAATGATCGGTCCTGTTTCAGAGAGGCTGCATCATGTTGAAAAAACTGAAGCAATGAAATCATTTCATCGTCAGAAAGATAACCAGAAATATCTCCTGTCCTCATCAAGTGGTCTAGCACCTTTAGAATGTCTTGCGACGAGTTGGGGTACGATAGGTGCTGTTTGAGCACTGGCGATAGATCCCATCTATTACCACTGCCGATGAGCTCGACATCCAACTCTGGGCATCGTAGCTTCCTCAACAAATCGACTACAGTCTTTTGGCCAAACGACCAGGCCTCGGAGGCTGTCAAGTCAAGAATGACCTTACCTTTTGAAAGTGGGGCTAATTCCTTCGATTTGGTTGGAAGAATGGGCCATTTATGCAGTGGATCTAGGGAAAAAGTATCTGGGTCCTTTTTGTGTACCTTGAACAAAAACTCCCATAGACGCTTTAACCATGGTTCGGTAGGCCCGTCTTTCAAATCCCATGGAATGAGACTGTTGGTTTCACACCACCTGCCTTTTGCAATACTCGGAAGGAGCGAGGCTAATGCACAGATATCGAATTTTTTGAGAACCCCTTGATCCGCCTCAAATATTTCTTTTTCGAACTGAAGTAACAGTGAGGCGAGTATGTGGTGGATAAACTTAGAGTGTTGATTTGGTACCAAATCTGCAAAGCGGCTCAGAAATACTTGCTTATCCATCTGGAATCGCCTAAGGACACCATCTTCAGTCAGCAACAAAGGGATTCCAAATATTTGTTTTAAAAAGGTAGGGGTCTTCATGCAATACGTAAGGAGGAGGACTACATTAAACGCAGAACCAACTGTCGTCTCACTTACAGGGCAGGGTAGTATACCTACGGAGTTTGGATTCTTTTGAAGAAACTTAATAACTCCTTCAGGGGTGATCTCTCTAACATCTGTTCCTGCTTTTTTAAAGTCGTTGAAGAGTTGGAAGGAAGAGTAAACAAGTTTGAAGTCAATGTTGAGGAGAACTTTTGAAAGATCTTTGGCTGATTCATCAGTACAGGACAAAGTGTTGAAATACCCCTGTGAAGGAGACAGCCAAAAACACCTTATGGGTTCTTCACAGTCAATAAAATCATCTTTGGCGACCTGAGCATTATCAAGGGGTTGAATGCTTTGTGTAGCCTTAGCACTTTGGGAAGTTGGCGAATTTTTACCAAAAAGTCTCCTCGTCAGCGGCAGCAACTCTGCATCTTCTTTGCAAATGTTGTGAAAAAAAGCTTTTGCTAGAACTCGCCACCGGCTTTGGACAGTATCAAAATGCGGAAAAAGATTATGATACCATCGCATTCCATTGTGAACCTTTAATTCTTTAGAGAAGCTGGTGGTTTCCCCCCTTTTGGAGCCCGGCAGGTGACCACGTGCCTCCAACATCAGCGAGATATACGCTTGGGCCAAAACTTTGCTCATTATGAAATGATTCCATTGGCTTCCAAATCCTTCTCCCTTTTCATCGTTCCAAAGATTTCGACGGGCGGAATCTAAAAAGAAATGCCCATTTACATGAACTGGGAGTCCTGTGTGTACAGCTGGTAATGGCAAGAAGCAGAAAGCCTTGAAGGTTGGTTCACATCTTACGTAGGAATGGAATTTTGACTTTTGCGACACCTTGGCCGCTATTCCTCCGCGAGGTAGGAGACCATAATCTCGACCGTTAGGAATCTCGTCACCACCTCGTTTCTGGATTCCAATGCACTGATGGACAAGCCATTGTTACTGTCGCACTCTGCCCTCGTGAACAAAAAGAGGGTATGTGATTCCAAACCATTGAATTTCGTTTGTATTTAGGAACTTACAATTCTTGATATGATTCGTAAGCTTCAGGCGTTTCGCATTATCATCGGCTGTTAGCTGTACAGAAACTGAGTGTATTTCTTTCAGCTGATCGTCTTTAATTTCAGACAATGATATTTTCTTCACGTGGTTCAAAAAAATGATAATCTCTTTTGCTTCGAAGGCCAAATGGTTCATAAATTGGTTCATTTGAGTGCAGGAGATCCGCTTTTCAGATATTAATGACTCTGTGCACGTACTTTGGAGTCTAAGAGGAAAGCGAAACATGGTTGAGGATTTTAAATCAAACATGTCTTCCAGATAACAAGGAAATACATCCCTGAAATCGGATCGTTCCTCTTCACCTATTGGTTGGATGAGACGTCCAGGATTCTCCTTGTCTGCACCAGGAGCGTAACGATAATGAGGGTCGAGAATGCAGAGCGTGTCTCCATTCGAAATGAAGCTTGGACAGTCCGTTAAGTGGTATACGGCGTTGAAGCCGATACCATACTGTCCTGTCTTAGTAGGATCACTTGCTTTGCTACCAATTCCCAGCCTTTGTATCCCCTCTAAATCATTTTTGGAAAAGGGTCGATTGTTGTAAACACACAGGGCAGGACCTTGCAGTTCCTTCCAGTTGTCACTTAGGAGTTGGTCGGTGTTGTGGTAACGAGGGTCAAAAATGAAATGCACCTCAGTGGCCCCTGCATCATCAGCATTCTGAACAAGTTCCTTAAGGACTCCAACATCGCATGGATATGCTTTCAAAATGCCCTTTAAGCGGTCAGTAAGCTCCTCTCGCTGTCCAAATTTTTGTCCGATTGGACAAGATATTCTGGATAGTTTCTTTGTTCGAATATCAATTGCTCCAAGCCTGTGTGCAAGGTCAATTGACAGGTCCTTGTGAACATAGTCGATATCACTTCTTGTAGCCACCCATGGTGCATCATTAATGGCTAATTTCTCAGCGGGCTGTAAAATCAGATTATGGTCTGGCAGAGGAATCTTCCCTCTTTCCGTCTCTAAGGATTCCTCTGAGGCTTCCGATATCTCATCAATCAAAGATTTTGAAACTTTAAACTCTTTCGTAGATAGACGCTCTCCTTGTTTCTCCTCATTGAGCTCGTAAAGAGCAGAAATGACCTCCTTGGTGGAAAAGTGCTCTTTGATGCCTGTCGCTTGAAATAACCTACGATACTTCGACGCAAGATGCTGTGGCACTTCGTTCAGGTAAGGCTCACCAAATCGCCTCCACGCGAAAGCCAGCCGAGAGGCCGACATACACTTTCCTTGAACCAGAATCCATCTCTTTTCTTGTAATGCTTGTATAATTCGCTTCCCGTCATGTTCCAGAACAAGGTCTTGTAAATAATCGTATATGCAATGGAAGACTTGTTCCAAACTTTCGATCGCATGGGGCGACTGGACTATTGCTTGAACTGCATGCTCCAACTGGCTAAGAACCTCATGGGCCGATGGTTTACGGGAGTTGAAACCAAAAAGATGCCGTGTTTTCTCGCTTAACTTGCTGCAGCCACTCTCACTTTCATCGAGGATTGGCCGTGAGGACCCTGCGACAAACTTATACCTGTCGTCGTACATTTCTTTCGCTGGAAGAATAACACTGTTCCAATCAGCAGTACCTTTCCATGGCATAACATAGTTTGCTGGCTTTGCGAGAGTAGGAAACATACTGATTGCCATTAACTCCTCTCTATTCAATTCTGAAGGGGGGTCCATTTTCTCAAGGTAGACATTAATATACTTGATGAGAAGGGCAGATCTCTTCCTAGCATCTTATTTGGCTCTTCTACAGAGCACCGACACAGAGTTTGCTCGCTCAATCAGGGTTTCCCAGTCAAGAATATCTGATAACATTCCCAGGTTTTGAAGCACGAGAAGACGTTCTTCAGTTTGATAACATGAACGAAATGGAAATCTCCTATCGTCTGCTGAGAACAGAGTCGCAGCAGCACTTTTCGGGGATATCAGCTCCTTGGGAAAAGCCAAATGCCCCGTATCTGGCCCACAAGGAATACAGCGATTAGTTGAAAGCAAAAATTCGTATAGATCGAGTAGCTGCTTGGACCGATTGCTAGCATGTCGTTGAAGGCATTCATCTATGAGGTAGCACACAATGGGATTCCGAAGCTCTTCGGGTATTGCCGTGATATTCGGGAAAAAGACGTCTCGGAGAAACTTTTCTTGTGTCATTGTACGTTTTTCGATAACTTCCATACATCCAGCTTGTTGAAATCCTCTCTTGACAAAGTCTGGAAGTTGTGCTATTTTGTAATCAAACTTTTCAAGGACGATCTTACTATTTGGAAGCTCCCGTAACTTGAGGTCTTGGTAAATGCATTGAGTTACTGGGAGCCATTTCCCTCCTGTGCGCACTAAGGGTAAGTCATAATTTGCGATTCTTCGATAAAAGCTCTTGATGAGTGGTTCCCATGCGGATGATTGAAGTTTGTCTGGATTTGGCCAGAGTGTGAAAACATCATACGACGGGATTTTTCCTTGTGTTTGCATGACGATCATATTTTCCAAGAGCTGAACATAGGCCTGAGTCAACGCATCCTCCATGAGGTCTTGGTTCCACCGCACTTCTAAAGGTTGACGGCCGACATCGGCTGTAGTACCTTCCCAGATTCCTCGGCGGTTTGATGTGACTGCAAAGTAGCCATTGGCATGTACTGGAAGACCTGTTGGAATACTAAGGGGAAGGAAACAAAATATTTCTCCAGGTACTGCCTCTACTTTTTCAGAGCCATCACCTTGGGTGCAAATCTTTGCTGCCACCCCTGAGGCAGATAAGAGTCCCTCCTTCTTGCCCTCCTCACTTGTTGCAAGCTTAAAGGAATTTTCAGTACCAAGACAAGAGGTCACAAGCCAAGACTGGGTTTCTTGACACCTCTCTTCATTCTTACGACAGATGGTGAAACACACAGATATGAACTCCGTTAGTTTAGGAGATGGATACCTGGCAAAAAGCTCGGACTGACTTGTGGACTGTCTTGTCCATGCTGCGCACGACTTCAGAAAGGTACTTTCCGTTACAGAATTCTTAGCTGGTGTACATTCTGTCCGACTTTTTCTGCAGATTTCAAACAGGAGTCGTGAGTCTTTAGTATCAATCGTATTTTCATCCACTTCAAGGAAGGACACCTTTTTAACATTCTGTGAAAACAAAAGAAGGGTCGGTGATGATTCTCGGAAAGAAAACATAAGCGACCGTATTTCCTTCTTATTGTAGATCTTATCACTGATTTCGCCTCGCTTAGTTCGGAATGCAAATCTGAAGAGAGTCCCTTGAAAGTAGAACTTGTCATCATCGCTGGGTGGAGTAGTGTCACAGCCAAAAAGCCCATTGAAGGGTGCAAACTGGTCCGGAAAACAGGTTAAACTGTTCTCATTTACCGCCAGATCTATCTTTATTCCAGGCTTCGAAGCATGGCTTATGTGGGAGCCAAGATGTGTTGTTTCTGGATCAAAAAAGACAGCATAATTTCCGGTAATGAAACTTGGAACATCAGTAAAGTGGTAAACGGAACTGAAACCAAGACCAAAGCGACCAATCTTCTCAAGATCTTCCTTTTTCGTGGCACCTGCCAGTCTCGATATATTCTTCAGATCATCATTTGTAAAGGTTGCATTGTTGTATGCCAACAGGGCGGGACCTTGGCATTCTACCATTCCCGGTGACAAAAGCCTCTGGTTTGGATGATTGCGCCAGTCAAGAACGAACTGAACTTCTGTTGCACCAGCATCATCTGCATTCTGCACTAATTCCTTGAAAACACCAACCCCTTCTTTGTACTCGTTCAGAATATTCTTTAGCCTCGTGGTAATTGGCTCGTGGGGACCTGTTTGCTCGATACCTAAAGCCTCTGCACAAGTGACACGGGTGCTGATTGGTGGAACACCAAGCAGAGCAGCGGTTTCGGGAGATATGGCCTTGTGGATCATCGGAAATTCGCTTGTGATGAGAAGTTCTGTTCCTCCTTTTCTAAGCCACTTCGCATCACAAAAAGTGCACTCCGAACATGGAACCAACTTCAAGGTATTATCCCAGGTGTGAATGGGCACCAGAAGACTTTCTCGAAGGTCTGGATTGAGTTTCTTTCTATCTCTAACTATCCAGTGGATAATCTCATGTGACAGCTTTCGATCATCTGCCACATCTTTTAGATAGTCACTGCTGGTGTTATGTTTGTCTTTTATCATTGTCAGGATACGCAACAAGTCGGAATCTTGAAATTTTTCACGAACACCGCATCGCTGGAAGAAAGGGTAAAGGATTTTAAATTCGTTTGGCACTATGTAAAGGTAAGGCCTCAAGTCGATTCTGCAGCAAGATGTAAATGCTGTCTTTGATGGTGATGAAAATCCATTCCCATGCCAAATCCACTCAGGAAAACTGTTATCCTGGTTTACAGCTTCGATGAGGCTAGCATTGCTGGATCCTTCTTCGTAGATCTGCCTTAACATCACTTGGAAATGATACAGAGCACTCCTGTTCATGTCATTCAATCGTACCAAACAAGCAGAACGCAACTGGTTTAAAAGGTGGTGCACAGGTGGCGATTTGTCCCAACCAAAAACAGCCTCTAATGCTTTGGAACAAGGTTTGGATACTATTGGTGCTGAAGCTCCTACAAGAGTAGCTTTCGATTGGCTGAACGTTTCAGATGGTTTGTATAAATGCGTTGTTCCTGAAAACCAAGGCATCGCACCAGGATAAGAGGAGGGACGACTCTGTTTTCTTGGGACCCATCTCTCGTTCATCAGAGTTTGGCCCAAGGACTTGTCAGGTGGGTTTCTGTCAAGGAACTCTAATAAGGCTGATGCTTTACGGGATCCCACATCGCTGTGAATCTTATCAACAGTTTTAGCAACATGTAGAATGTCCTCTTTATTTGGAATACTCCTCATTCCAAGTTGTCGAAGACGTAGAAGGGTTTCTTCTTTGACGAAACTTTCATTTGGAAATTTGTCGTATTCGCTCTCAAACAGTTGCTTCAAAATGGGTTGTTGTGGATCTAGAACGCAACATGGAGTAACTAACTTATTACTCCTGGTGAGTACAAAGGGCAGTTGTTGAAGAGATGAATGAAATGAGCTGTCTTCCCCGCAAAAAAGGGAATACTGGCTAAGTACCCAGCACATCAGCGTAGAGATCTGTTGGTGATTATAGAAATTGCTCTGTATGCCACTGAATACAATGTCCCTTAGAAAGGCTGTTTTTGTCATCGGTGAGATTCCAAGTCTTTGAATTAGGGTATGAGATTCGCTATCTCTCAAGGCAATGATTGAGGACGCTCTTGGTATTGGCAAGGGTCGAGGAACTTCGAAGCCATATGGTGACACTTCATGAACTTGAAATCCATTTCTGAGAGCAATGAAGGAGCTTCCATTAGCTGCATCAAAAATAGGAAGGTTACATAGGAGGCTTCTTTCAGCATCATTGAAGTACGTAGAAGAGAGGAAACTTCGTAGCGCTCGCTTCTCATCTGGGGAACAATGTGTAATCGCTGGTATGCACCTGCTTTGACCCAACGTGCAAAAGATCTTTAGGACGCCATGGGGATCAGGTGTGACAACATATCTATTTAGGGTGTTGTGATGAATGTACAATGGAAGAGTTTCTAGAACAATGCAGCCAACTTTTCCAAGCAAAGACACAATAAGTGGCGGTAAAGAGATACCCTGGTAATGTCTTCTGATAACCACGCTTGATGAACTCAACTTCACAATGCTTCGGTTTCCAGAACATGTGTGCGGAATGAGCGGGAAGTTTTCGAGCAATGAGAGATCAGCGGGGAACATTCTCTGAATCCACATCCATACTGACTCCAACCAGCGCTCTGGTGGATGCCCATTTTTTCCTGGATACCAAGGTACTGAATGATTTCCTCCACACCAATCTGATGGAAGCATCTCTCGCAGAACCTTGACAGCAATGGTTTGGTTTAACTTAACGAGTTGCACCGGTTCGATTGTATGTGAATTATTAGCATCAGTGGCAACCTTCGACAAATATGTAACGGCAGATGTTTGAACGCTGTCGTCGAGGAACTTATTGTCCATGTTGTGGAAAATGGAACGGGGATTGCTCGTTGATGAAACGTACACAGCAGCGGCTGGTTCTCGGTTGTACTGGATTGAGCGGAAATCAACAAAACTTCCATCTGCGAGGGGCAAAAGGGGAACTCCTCGCATGTCGTCCAGGTTCTTGTCCGCGAGAGCAAATTCGAGTAGTAAAAGCTTCTTCTCCTTCAGTACATTGCTTATCTTCCAAACTCCCTTTTCCTTCTTTTTCAGCAGAGCTCTCAAGAATGCGGGAGTGATGCTCTTCGTAGGTACTGACCTGTATTTATCAATCGCAGTCATGACGTGGCTCGGGACGATTACAACGGCCTCATTTGCTTGCGTCAATGTGTCTAGAACTACGCGTCTTGTTTCATCAGATGTACTCTGAAATTGGGTTGTCATTCTGTCAAGGTAGGCGTCACTAAGGTTTCTCCACTGACCATGATTTGCAGGGGTCCAGAGGATGTTTTCTTTTAATAAAATCGAAAACATGTGCTCTATCATACACTGCCAGTGGTTTTCAACTTCCCGAATGTTTGGCCATGACTTGTACATCAAATCTGTTCCATCTGAAGAATCACATGAATCTCTAAGAAGGAGCAACACGTTGGCGTAGGCCTCACTCGCAACATGCTGCACCAGCGACACATTCCATTCTGCGGTTGAGTCGTCCTGACAGTCAAGGCCTGGCCATTTAAGACCACGCCGATTATCTGTGAGGCCAAAGTAGCCATGCACGTGAACTGGCAAACCGGTCTTGGAGTCAGCGTCTGGTGGAAGTGGTAAGAAGCAGAAGATTCTTCCAGTTCTTGATGAGAGCGCTTGAAGTGTGACTGCATTCACTGGTGTGGCACAGGCCACCCAAGGTAGGAGACCTAACTCTAGGGACAATTTTTTGAGAGTTGAATTTCGAGCATCAACCTGGTGGTACACAAGCCATTTATTTTCCACCTCCCTTCCTCCTTCAGTCTTTTCAAGGACATGCAAATCTAGAGAAAGATTGATGTTTTCAATTTCCCCGTCGCTCAGCCTTCTCAAATCATTCAAAAAATTTCTCTTCTTTTCTCTAACTTCTTGTCGGCAGCTGTCACTCAGTCGAACTGTAAAGACATGTCTCTCAACGCCTCTTTCATCAGTTTCAAACAGAGCGATTTCTTCAATGTTTTTCAGGAAGAGCAGAATAACAGGTGCTTCCTTTTCGAGGGCTTGAAATAATTTGCGAACTTTTTCCTTACTGTAAACCTTTTCGGATAAGTCTGATGGTGCACTTCGTAACGGAAAACGAAACAAAGTTCCATTGTAAAATCGAGTCGAAATTTTGCAGTCTAAGACATTCTCGTACGGCTTGAACTGGTCTTCGTGATTTTCAAGGAGTTCATCCTCAAGGGAAAATTCTTGTCCCGTTTCCCCTCTACCAAAGTGTATTTCTTGAGGATCAAGAAATACAATAGAATCTCCACTCACGATGCTGGGCAGATCTAAATCATGTGTTAAGAAGTAACCAGTTTAGTAAATATAATTGTCTCATTATTAAGTGCAGATACTCAATCTGTTTCAACTCGCACCTTAAAAGGATGTGCAGTTGCTAGGTTGAACAGATGATTTTAGAACGAAACTTGTTATGGTTTTTTTTTCTAGACGCAAGGGAAAATTTCTCGGCAAGGATTTCCGCTCTTCTGTTTCCAGGAAGTTTCTTTTTGCATTGCAATCCGAGAATTTCAATGATCTGCCACGATGTCATATGGTAATGATTTTTTATCACCCTTAAAGAAACTTACCAGTCAAATGATAAACAGAATTGAAGCCAATTCCAAATCGACCAACTTTTAAAGGGTCATCTTTCTTATCGCTATCCATCAGTTTCTGCAAGTTTTCCCAGTCACTTTCCTCGAACCGAGCATTGTTCTGAGCATATAAAGCAGGGCCCTGGAACTGACAAAGACTAGGTGCGACAAGCGAGTTCCTTCCGTAAAAGCCCTGACGCGAATCAAGGAGAAAGGACACTTTTGTGGCACCTGCGTCATCTGCATTCTGAATAATTTCCTGAAAAAAGACAACATGACCCAGGTATCAAATAACGACAAGGTAAAGAAGAAGGAAGTGAATTTCATATTCCTCGATCTTTGTACTACCTTTTATTTATGTACCAGAACATTTATTTTATGTTGACTCGTTAGCACCAGTTTCTCTTGTGTGACCGCTTGTGTTTTAAAGTCATGAAATTATCACCAACGTATTATTGTTGAATCAACAGTAAGGAGGTTTTTGTCATTTTACAGGAAAATAAAACAAAGGGACGCAAAACAAGAACATTTAATAGCATTTAAAAGGGTCCGATGTATCTCTACTTAGAACATTTTATGAATTGTTTCACCCTCATGCAAAAATATAGGCTGTCACATACATATAACTGTTGACTTCTCCTTTCACAAGGAAATAAATTGCCCTCGGTCACGACTCATAAAGTTTCGGTTACTCATATTGAATTAATCAATTCGTCAATCGATCATTACCGCGAAAGATCCTTCTTCCTCCTCACCCTGTGATCAATAATTTTGAACACCCCATCACTGCTAATGTTTTCTCAGTCTAGGATTACCTTATACTCATTCATTTAGTCAACAGAAACGAAGCATTAACCTTGCTCTTTTAAACTGGGTTGACTGTACAAGTTTTTACCGGTTTCAATGCACTGCTGAGAGAAGCATCATCATTCATACCTTTAAGATTTGTCCTCCATCTGGGTATCTTTCCAAGATACTTTTCAAAATGTGGGTCAGTGGAGGTCTTCTTTGGCCATAGGACTTCCCTGTTATGGCAAAGAAACAAAATCGTCGCAAGAATTAGCAAAACGAAACTAACCAGCACAAAAGTATAACGAGGTAATTTAGTATTAACTGAGTTGATAACGTAAATCGGCCCCCGTAAAGAGTTTAAAAGCGGACGTTTCGAGCATTAGACCCTTCGTCGGTGCGATTGGAGAAATTGTGGGTTGCACGTGTCTTTATATCCAGCTCAAGAGCAGGGGTGGATCCAGGGTAGTTTACCTGATTTCCGGAACTCACTCAAATTTTTTCCGACCTAGTTAAATGTTGATAAAAGTACTTTTGGAAAACACTCTAATTTCCCTTTGGAAACTACTGATACTTTTGTGGAAATCACTAAACGTCTTCCAGAAATAAACCATCTTCCTGTTTTACAGTTATTTATTAAAGAAAATACGTTTAGAATGACTAATTTCGTTATAATTGCGGTCATGAGGCGTTCGGGAGCGCTCCGGATCACGCGCTGGCCTTTCGAGCTTCGATTACACCTCGGAAACCGTCGGAAGCCGTCGGAAAATGTTCGTGGAGCCAATCTTTACGCAACCGGTGGGTGTAAGTCCTTGTTATTTGGTGACAATAACAGGCGGAACACAGTCAAAACCCCTCACGATTGGCTAGCAAAGATTTCGTCATCGGAACTCACTCAAAACACTCTTCTGATTGGCTAGTTGTGTTTGGAAACTACCTTGGAAACTACTGACAAAGTATAAAAGGGGCAGTTCCTCCCCCAGCGGGTCTCTTTCGTTGCTCCTACAATACAAGTAGTTTTGAACTTGCTCAGGGGTTAACGACGGAATAACAATTTACTGTTAAACGTTTAAAAAATACTAGTGTTATGACTCGCGGAGATCCTGTTTGTCGGAGGGAGGATTGTTCTCCCTTCGACATTGGCCTAGTTTTCGACGAGATCCACAACTACTCGCCGCATCAGAAGCTGGAGTTCGTCGAAAACGTGTGGAAACCAGGTGAGCTTTTTGATTTCCCCGTGTCAATGGAAAATGGAAAATGTCGTAAGTTTGTCTCGGGCTGGCTGAAAAGATTTCCATGGCTAGCTTACTCCAAATATTTCGATGGAGCATTTTGTTTAGCTTGTGTTTGTTTTGGAGTTCAGTGTGGGCGAAACGCTAATAAGTTAGACAAATTATTGAAGTCTCCTCTCACAAATTGGACTTCGGCCGCTTCTCGCTTAACCAAACACTCGTTAGGAAATTGTGAAATTCACAATTTTTCTATGACTGCTATGAATGATTTCAAGAGAATGATGCAAAGAGGAGCTGTCCCAATTGACCAGCAGTTAAATAACATAGTTCAACAGCAAATCGCGAGAAATCGGGAGATTCTAAAGTCCCTTTTCAAAACTATTATTTTCTGTGGGAAAACAACATCCCACTCAGGGGCGGAGAGATGATGATCCCACTAATGCTGCCCTAACCGGTAATTTCCAGGCATTGCTAGAATTCCGGGTAGACAGTGGTGACCAAACACTGCAGCAACACCTGGACACTACACCCAGAAATGCCACATACATTTCAAAGACCATTCAGAATGAAATGATAGAAACTGTTGGTGCTCACATTTTGAATGATCTATCACAGGAAATAAGAAATAGTAAGTATTTTTCAGTTATGGCAGATGAAGCTGCTGACATTTCAAATAAGGAGAATGTTTCTGTAGTAATAAGATTTCTGGATACAACTAAAACCATCCGAGAAGAATTTATTGGGTATTACATTTGTGAGGAGGGATTAACAGGGGAGGCTATCAAGGACATTATAACTGCAGCTGTAGCAAACTTAGGATTGACAATGGAAGACTGTCGTGGGCAGTGTTATGATGGTGCAGGCAATATGGCTGGAAGGCTAAATGGAGCCTCCTCATTGATCAGTGCAGAACACGAAAAGGCAATCTATGTCCACTACATGAACCACAGGCTTAATTTGTGCATAGCAGACACTTGCCAATTGCCAATTGTCAGGAACATGATGGATATTGTGCGCAAGATTTCTAATTTTTTTAACAACTCTCCCAAGCGTCAACAACATTTAATAGCCAAGATCAGAGAACTATTGCCTCGGGCAAACCATACTGTTTTAATTGACGTGTGCCGCACACGATGGATTGAACGGATTGATGGAATGGACCGCATAGTTGAACTTCTCTACCCAGTCACAGCTACACTTGAAGACATCTCACTTAACAGAAACAGCCCTGGAGACTCAACCTGGAATCCAACAAGCAGACATGATGCTCAGTCCTTAATTAATGCAATCAACTTTTCCTTTATTGTTTCTCTTGTTATTGTCAGACATATTTTAGGATTAACTAGACCACTCACAGTGAAGCTGCAACAAAAAGCAATGGATCTTCTAAAAGCTAAAGATGAACTTGCTCTTTTGAAATCAGTCCTTGAAGACATGAGCACTGACATTGATAACAGACATCATAATCTCTACCAGGAAGCAGTGACCATTGCAAGACAAGTAGCAGTCCAGCCAGAAATGCCAAGGATAGCCCAGAGACAAATGCATAGAAATAATGCTCCTGCTGCAACTCCTGAGGGGTATTTCAAGATCAATCTCACTAGAGTTTTTCTTGACCATGTACTCCAGCAGCTCAACACCAGATTCCAGGATGATGTATTTGTTTGCTATAAAGGTATTTCGATTATTCCCTCTGTTTTACTAGCTACTAACCCTGCCTGGAAGGCCAATGTTTTGGAATTTTGTAACCATTACAGACAGGACATACCAAATTATGCAGGATTACAGGCAGAGCTTTTGTTATGGGAGAGATTGTGGAAGGGAGGGATAACAGAGGAGATATTATTCCTGACAGTTTGGAGGCTACACTGAAGGATATTGACAAAGATGCATATGTCAACATCTATTCCATGCTGAAAGTCCTGATCACAATTCCAATTTCATCTGCATCTTGTGAGAGATCCATATCATCCCTTCGGAATCTTAAGAACTATTTGAGAAATACAATGACCCAGGACAGACTGAATGGATTGGCACTGATGCATGCCCACAGAGACATGGATTTTGACCTTGAATGTATAATAGATTTATTTGCTGAGTTACATCCTAGGAGAATGAGAATGGCAAACATTTTGTAATAATTTTTTGCACCAGCTGTTTCTAGAGTACTTGTGAGTTATGTTCTGTCTGGGTTATGGCCTTTAAGTCTCATAATCCTTAAACTGATGGAGAACAGTACAGAAGCTCAAACTGGTGCCTGTATAACTTTTTTCAACTCATTTCAAGGTTATTTTCTATTTTGTTTTACTTGTGATGATTTTCCATTGACATTGACATTGGGTTTTCATGTTAAGCTTAAATGGTTAACAAACATTTTCACTGAACTCAACCAGCTTCACAGCAATTCCCAAGGATGAAGAAAGGCTAGTATTACTTCAAATTATCATTTTACTTCAATTTGTATATCATTTTATGATTCTTATAATTTATATTTTTCTAATAATTGTTTATTTTTTTGAATTCCAGCTCCCAACACAGGCTAACCATCCATAAAGCCCTTCTCTCTCTCTCAAATTCTTTTCTGTGTTGTGCTCCTATAAATGAAATGAATAAAAGCCAGCTCAGGAAATGTTGTTTTTAGTGTTGCTAAACATTTGGATTTATTGAGCCTGGCTTTCATTCATTTCATTCATTATAGGAGCACAACACAGAAGAAATTTGAGAGAGAGAAGGGCTTTATGGATGGTAAGCCTGTGGTCCCAAGGATGAAAAAGGCAAGTAGATTTTTATTATCAATCTTTAAACTATATCATCAATTGTGCTTGTTTTTCTTTTGTTATCAAAAACACTAACACTTGGTTCGTTTTTTTTCTCCACATCTTGATTTTCCTGACTGGGAGGTGATGTTTTCCAGTGTGAAAAGTCTTGGTGATGACTTGGCCTTCCTGAAAACACTATATACACTGGTTTGCACAGTAGCTAAAGGTGGAATATTTGTAGATCAGAGTGTTTCCTGTAGTACTTTCAAGAAAAATAAATGTTTTTTGCCTTTTTGATTACATGCTTTTTTAGTCTTTTGGGGGCAATTAAATTTTCTAAAAATGCATGAAATGGCCTTTAGAGAGCTCCAAATTTCAGATTTTCTCAGGGGGGCATGCCCCCGAACCCCCCTAGCAGGAGTGGGTCCTCGGGTGGAAACTACTCACTCAAAATCCTGGATCCACCCCTGAAGAATAACTACATACAAACATAATATGACCTCTCAATCGAGCCAAATTGTAAACTAAATTCTTGAATCATCTTGTTTTCTGTCTTGACTTTGACAGATTGTACAAAATGCTCGCATCGGTAACTATGTAGATTATGAAGCTGGTTAAGAAAATGTTATCAATCTTTTTAGAGGTTAAATTCTAACAACATTCGAAGTTTAGTGGCGTCTCAAGATCACAAAGCTGCCGCTATTTATTAAAGTTCCTTCAACGGTACTGATGAGGGATACGTACGTTCTAAAGGGAATTCGAACAGAAACTCAATTCAAAGTTAAAATCTCAGTTCCTCTTGAGACTCAATATATTTAAGTTCAGGCGAAAAAAAAACCTTCAGATTTGAAATGTTAAATATATTTCATGTACAAAGACTCCTCATAACTAGCATTTACCTTCACTTTCCTGAAAGGGTGTCATACAGAAGATAAGTTTTTGATAAAGTTATCGCACCTTTAAAGTCCTATGGCCCCATTCGGTTACAGCTAGGTTTTTTGAATACAAAATGCTTTATAGTTTACTAGGAAGTAGATTAAAAGTAGACCATAATATCGTAAAACATCATGGATTATTTGTCTCTGTTTTCCTAAACATATCCTAGAATATTATCATCTTTGATGCTTACAACTGTTGCATGGTTAAAAAGTTTGCTGTTCAGTAAACTTAAAAGATTGAAACCCTTGTGCATGTCGATAAATTAAGGGTGCATTGCAGTAAAATTTCATCGCTTACCTTTAACAATTTTGCGAGGCTGCTCTGCCATTGTGTCATTCGAACATCTTCGATGGAAGCTCAGGAAACTTCGTCACTTTGGTTTTTTACTGTGGAAGAAACGGAAAAAAAATCCTTGTGCTGTAGATGAGCACTTTTTAAATGTGAATAAATCTATCGACAATCTTAATGTGGAACAAAATGTTTGAATCGAATGTTGGTCAGACGACTGTTTCATGCGTTTCTATAAAACTGTTCGCCAGCCACAACTCACCTTACATTTGTATAAATTAATAAGAGGTCTTTGCAGTCTAAACAACCGATTAGAGAACTAATTTTACATGTTTTGAAGATGCATTTATTCACTGGAAGTATTTCGGAATATTTATGACTTGTTTTGCCTGTCAAATTTTTCTTTTAAAAAGCCAGTTCAGTTTTTCCATTAATGTGCCCTGTGTAAGACGAAGAAGAAAAGGGAGGGAAAAATCGCAAAAACCTTTTATGTGTATGTGTCTCAGAATTTTTCGTCGCTCAGTGGTCATCAATGGGCGTAAATGTATTTCAAACAGCTAACCACTTCAAGGTTTTTAGCCATTCGGCGATTTTCATATGGAGAGAGATTGGTTTCAGTTAGTTGTGTTTCCGATGCTTCACCGTTTGAATGGATCTTTTCCCCTCACTTACTTCGACGAAATAAATATTCATATTGCTAGTGATATTGACCTAGGTTTCTGTAGACAGTTAACTACGTTTGCTAAAGAAAGCTTATGGCGGTTCATGAAGAATCTAAATTCTAATCGTGTATAGATTGAGTTCACTCATTTCACTTAGATGTAAAACAATACCAGTTTATCATATTTAAGTCTGCGTATTTCATTCACTGAAGATATCCTTAGGTTGATCATGGAAATATTTTTAAGTCCTGACAAATAGAGTACACCTGCTTCCAGAAATTTTCAGTATGTACGGCAGTGAATTGGTTTCCGAATTTCCAAGAGAGCCAACATCGTAAATCGCCATTGATTATAATTTTTCCCGTATTACCAGCAATGAGAAAGGAATCTGTGAAATACCTTCGATAAACGTCGACTTTGCCGATGCAGGATCCTTGATATTTGCGGGTCCTATCGCTATCAGTCGAAAAAAAACCGGTACTGGTTCTAGAAACTATTTAAAAATAGCTAAAAGATCTACGATTCCAAGCTGAAGTAGACACGTTCAAAGGGATCACAGAGTTTGACTTGTCCGCATCCAAGGAAGGAAGTGTAAACTTCCTCAAAAGAGTCATAAGGCTCGGCCGAGAAATTTGAAAAGTAGTACGATTGTTTACTTCACCGAAAATTTTCCTGTTACGGCTGGATGGTTTCCCATAGAGCAAATTCCTATTTTTTTTCTATTCACGAAGCTTGTACCTTGTCTGCCCTGCGATCTTGGACTGGGTCTAAAATTGGTAGGGTCGTGAAGCAACTAGATTTCGCCAAAGAGTTGAAGTGCAATTAAATAACACTTACCTTAATCTTCCTTGCTGTTATAAACATCCATTCCAACCAATACGAACTATAACACTTTTTATCCCCGAAAAATTAAATCATAAATATGCCGCTCGATCTTCCCTGAAACCTATTAGGCAAAATACCGACGAATTCTGAGAAAATGACAGCTCTCCGCCAATCATAGAGCACGGTACGCAATACGACTCCACCACCGGAAATCGAAAGCGATTCTTGGAACCCGGAGACAGATTCTTGGAATCGACTTGGTCAAAGAGAGAAAGCAATATATATTATCATGCTTAATTATCATGCTTGAATGTCTGTTTCATCGCATTCTAGATCAGGGCTTTGGGTTGCTGATAAAATCAACAGTTCACTACGAAATTACAACTTGAAACAAACACGTTTAGCAAAACAAACATTTCTTTAAGCTTGTTTTGAATATTTCTCATGAATATTTCTCACGCCTACTATTTCTCAATAGTAGGCGTAAATGGGAGTTTTCCTTCCTTCTTTCTGTTCTTTTAATCAGTCCACTGTCCTTCTAGTACCAGGAGCGAGTAACACCCTTAGTTGGTTCGGTATCAAAAAGCTGTTTGCATTCTTAAAGGGCATGCTCTTCCCAGTCTACTAAATGTATTTGTGGACGGCTCATTCCAGACCAGCGTTACAAGAAGATCTGCTAGTCGCAAACGACAATAATATAATTCATTTACTTTATTGTATTTTTATAAATAAAACTTGCCTTCATTGAGGACTGAGCACATCGGAGTGAAATTAACATCATAATCAAAATTTTAAATCAAAATTTTAAACTTTGAACATTGGACACTTACTCGTTCTTGTAATTCGAACGTCATGTTTGTAACTGGACTACAGGTTCCTTGTACGCATTTGCCTAGTTCCTTGTAGCTTTTTTCATGAAAACATATCACTGATGGCTAGTTTATTTCTCAACTTTTGTCAAAGTGTTGATTCGATGGTGACAGGACTTCGGGTTGTTCAATTCTGTCTGCTCTCATACTCGTAATAAACAAATCGGACTCCCGTATCGCGTTCGTCTGATTTGGTAATCACTCGTACGATTACAGACATAATTTGACTGTACTCAGTCATATTACTACTAAAAATCATTTTTTAAGTATTCTTGTTTTTTTTTTCGGTTGTTGGATCACAGCAAACTTCTGGTAGGCTCAAAACAACCTTGGTATCACTGTTAATGGAACAATAGGATGTGTGGCCTCTAAGTCAATAGCCGTCATTAGGCACTCGCTCGCTGCCTCGTGTTCGTCTTGAGCTTCCATAACCACGCCTAAAAGATGCCTGAAATGAAATGACACAATAAGCAGACAGACTCATCGCACATATCAATACAATATCAAACACACAAGTGATGAGAATAGAGATTAATATCAATAAGGGGGTTATTAATTGATCCAATACCATATTCTGCGAACTTACACCATAAGAATTGTATGGCAGACAGTAAGGAGAATTACCAATGAGATCTACACGTTTCATTACCATTTATTTACACTGGCAGGTCTTTGAACATAAAATGGCACGATACAACACGGTGCACGAAATAAAATAACAGAATCGAGAAAGCGTTATATAATGTAACGCAACATGTCGCTGGTGAGGGGGATCTGGCACTGAACAAGACTATAAATCCGTGTAAGCAAGAAAGATGAAAAAAAAAATCACATGACCCGTATATTATTCAGTTATAACCAAATGAATGGTACCCTGTTGCTTAATGATTCACAACCGCGCCCAAACCAAAAACTTGAATGAAAGCGATCACTCACCAAGCTTCAAATGCTGTTGGATCGATATTGATAGCTTCGCGGAGGACTTTCTCAGCCATAACAAGATTACCAAGTTTGTGATACACTGCACCCTGAGGAAACCAAATTAATCGAACAGTTTCACAAATAAAGGGGGTAAGTTTCTCGAGAAACTGTGGTGTTCCGTCGGTGATAGAGTATAACAAGATAATTCAGTATTATCAACTAAGTTGATAACGTAAACTGGCCACCGTTAAGAGTTTAAAAGCTGACGTATCGAGCGTAGAGCTAACGAGGGGTTAACACTTGAAACGTCAGCTTTGAAACTCTTTACGGGGCCAATTTACGTTATCAACTCAGTTATTAACTAAAATACCCAAATTCACGTATAAACGTAGCTGCGACTGACGCTACTGTTAACATAACACAATCTTGAGGAGGAGGAGGAGGAGGAGGAGGAGGAGGAGGAGAAACAATTGAAATTAGAAAAAATCTAATTCAACTGAAATTAGCGGTCAATTTTCTATAGTTCCCCCCCCTTTATACTCTGTTAGCGACGACTGATCTCCCCTCCGTATCCCTCAAAAACCATAGGATCCTCCCAAAATCTCCCCCCCGCCGATAAATCACGACTACTCTCTAATAGTGCGAATACTCAATTAATTTTTTAAAGCCAATCTGTATTCGTTAATGAGTCCAGTTTTATTTTGTACATCCTACCAGGTGTTGAATGCTGGCCACGTGGCTTGGGTTTATGGAGATCGCATTATCGAAGCAATTCTTGGCCTCCGTAAGGTTTTCTTTAAGCTCGAAAATGCGGCCACGCTGTGTAAGAAAATAAAAACAAATTAAGAACAACAACAAAAAAAAAAACCATTTGAAGTCTGCATATGGGACTGACTCAGAATTTTCTATGCGCACATCAGCATGCTATCCCGGCGTTAGCTCACAGCACTTCTTAAAATTGCCCCGTTTTCGTTCCAGGCTTTTGATCGGTCACCGCGTTCTCAAAGCGGTCGCGTCCTCGATCTTAAGCTCCCTCCTGAGTTGAGAGCATTTAAAAAAAGGGAAGGTGATGCGTATTAATACGACAGGATTGAGAGATCTTGGGTAATTAAGGGGGGGGGGGTAAGGCAAATCAATATAGGAGAAAAAAATGCCGTGGTGCCATATAAAAGAGTGGCTGGACGGAAGGACTATCTAAGTACTGTAGTGTTAGTAGTAGTAGTGTTAGATTTCCTACCCCACCTTTTTACGAAAGTTGGGCCAAAATTGTTCCTAACAACCGCGTCTTGGTGCACTGACAACACGTAAGCAAGACTCATACCTGAAACAGCACATCCGGGGAAAAAGGGAATATCAAATGCGCCTCCTGAACGCATGCGCTGCCTTCAGTGTCCTTTTCCATGGCAACATACACATCAGCTGTAACAAAACACATCATATGTCTCCAGATAGTCCAATGAAATAAATTAATAAACCACTTCCCTGTGACTAAATAGAAATGACTAAATAGAAATGAGTTAGATTAGGTGGAAACCGTTGACAAATTGTCAAAAGAACTAATGGTGTAGTTTTCTCAACTGATCTGGGATTGTGCTGGTTTTGTTGACTGGACACATAAATAGGACTAACCAATAGCAAGCCAGAGTTTTGCTTGCAAGGCTAATACAGCTGGAACGCTGAGTCGGACGGAAGTCGAGGCAGCCTCGTCTGATAAGGCCTGTTCCAGGCGCACTGAAGCCGCGATGGAACTGGCACCATCATCTGACAAGAAACACGATGGCAATTAGTTCCGAACAGGCTCCAATAACCAGAGTAACACGGGGAATTCTAATGTTTGAAGGAACACTTACCGGAGTCTTTTTCACTGGTGAGTTCTGTGAGTGGAATCTGTTTCAAGCTTCGAGAATCTGTGATAACTTTGTCTAGCAAACCTGATCCAGCCCTTTGAAGCTCTGTGGATCTGAAAGCAGTAAGCACTTAAGACCTTTGGGCCCACTCTAAATTTTACACAGTTTATGAGTAAAGCACTGGGTCTCAAATAATTTAACTCGTTTACGTGTAGCGTGCACAATTCCTTCCACGAACAGAGACTGATTGGCAGTCCTTAACCACCTAGTGGCCTCTTCCTTTTTAATCTTGTAATGTTTCCTCGAGCTTCAATTGACTACATTTCCCCCGCCTACTAAACGGGATGGTAGTCGATAGCTCCCGCACAGTAACCCCAGCTAAGCAATTTTTTAGGGTTGCCCGGACAGTCCACAACTATCAATTACTACTATTGTCTTGGTAAAAGCACTGGAATGGTTAACAGTCTCTTTAAACGGCTCAAAACCATTGCATTTCCAGTTACAAATGACTTAGCCTGAAATAATAACTAATCTCAATTTGGTTGTCCATGTTTGCTTATCAAATCAACAAAGGTCCCTCCAAACTTCGAGCTGGAGAAAATCCTTTCATATCTTAGGTTTTGGTTCTTTACTTATCCCTTATTCGAACACTTTTACCCACAATAAATACGTTAATTTTTGCGCAAAAAGCAGAAACTTTCCACAGTTTGCTCTTCACACTTACCCCGATAGATCAGACTCGTACACTCGTTTCCAGGTTTCCAACAACCGTTTGCAGGTGATCAGTGCTTGCTCTCCACCTAAGCAAGCCTGTTCCAGTTTAACCTTCGTCAGAAGCAAACTGAAAACAGACAGTAGATAACATCAAGCAAATGAGAGCACTGTTACTTCCCGTGGATGATACTCTGGTCCATCACAGACCGAGAAACCCTCGGTATTTAGTCAGGTCTCTATGACAGTTCGCCTGCGTCTAGCAACTGCAACAATTGAGAACTGAAGTACAACACACACCTGAAGTCATCAGGGAATTCCATCAGAGCAGCATCACAGACCTCTAGTGCCTCAACAAACTATGAACAAACAAATCAATCATATTCTCCTTACTACACCAGTACACCCATACAAAGGAAACGGTGAGCGCTGACAACGCATAAAATCGATAAGGATCAGTGACGAGAAGGCGGAGCATAAACGAGTAACTTACCTTTTTCTGGGAAGAAAGTATAAGAGCTAAAAGATGCAGAAAAAAGGATTGATTCATGTCCATTTTAAGTGCATTTCTAATGTTTTTCAGGGCCTTTGTCATCTGGAAATGAAAGTAAAATAAACTTTTAGGGAACTGTTTGAAACAATCCACACTTTGAAGCGCTTGATGATCCCACATCGTAACACAAAAATCACTGGGGATCAAAACGGAAAACAGGTTAAAGTGCGGGAAATAGCATTGCAACAGAACATCGATGGGGAAGCACCGACCATAAAGCGATGATGGAGTGGGAGGAACGATTTTTTTTTGCGGTAATTCTTGCGAACAAGTTTCAGACGACAATAGATTTTCTCAAGTTCGAAATGAAGAAATTTTTCATGCTTCTTTGCTTGCCCCCTCACTGTTCAAAGCAACCATTCCAGTCGATTATTTTCAAATTAATTCTAACCTGTCTCATGAGAGCATGATTGAGGGCGAGGTGAAACAAGACTTCGCTGTCGTCAGGATCCAAGTTGTGCCCTCTGTGTAAAAGACAGAGAGAAAATGCAAGAATGACAAGGTCTTGTTCCGCACTCGAGACAAAAATTTCACGACTTCGCTTGTTCAACAGACAAACTCAAAATTTAGCGTCTCTCTTGCTTTCAACAGGCTCTCATTCAAAGGGCCGAGAAGGAACTGGTCTCGATTAAATTGGCCGTGGTAACGTAACATAGATTAAAAAGAAAATTATCATTAGCAACATTAAAAGGATGAATAAAGATGTTTTTCGTCTTGTCACGAGCGTGGGACAAAGAAAAAATTCTGAGTCCACATGAAAAATCGAACCTCAGACCTTCGGATTTCGCGCTCCGATGCTCTACCACTGAGCCACAAAGACTCCATGGTGAGCGAGGTCCGTTACGAAGTTCATATGACACGCGTCCTGCATACTGCAAGGATCAGCAATGTCAATAGCGTAATGTTTGTAGATAGAAATTAAATGAAAAGGTTGAGCTGTGAAAAAGCCAACACAGGAAATCATGAAGGAAAATCAAATTTTCTATCATGACACTTACTTCTGAAGAGCATCAATTGCTTGTTTCTGAAGCTGTTGACGTTCTCCTCTTAAACAAGCTGCAGGAAAGTACATGAATATAAGAAATTAAAAACATCTTCCATTTAGATAGCTTCAACCATTTGCTGATAAATGCCCGAAATAGCCACAACTAACCCCATGAAACGTAGCTCTACTTCGGTCATCCTCGATTTCCCTCTCGACATCCAAACAATTATAGACTGCATGCTGGCTTTTTTAATCGAAAATTGATAATCGCGTTGAACTCTTTAATATATTGTTACTCGATCTGCTATGCTCGTAAGAATCTGTAGTGGAGTCTGATCATTATTGGGTCTTTTGCAACATACTCGCAAGGGGGTGGGGAGTTGGGGTGTAACAACCCAATTTCCCCCCCTCCCCGAAAAGTTTTTATTGTTCTTATTCAGATGGGAACGGTGCACTTTAAGGTCGATCCCCGATCAAATAACACTTTCCACCAATTACAGACCCCTTTCTATATACCTTGAATACAATTTGCACTTGTAATATGTTGTCAGTAATGAAAAGAAAACAACCCAAAAGGAATATTAGCGAGCTAACGTGAGCGAAGTTTCCCTGAAATAACCTCTAAGAAAATAGTCGTCAGACTCTTTACTGTCTAACTGATAAAAGACATGCAGGAAAATTCCAAAAACAAATTTTCATTAGTTGGGAATGTTTCCGGCCCAGCCTCTGCGCAGATTGGCAAATTCAAAGAGGAAGGTACAAAGTTAATAACAAATCCCATGCACCTTCGCTGGCCAGCAGGCTGTAACCGATACCCAGTGCCAGGTATCCTCTGGAAGAAAGCTCTTTCTCGTCTCCCTTGGCTATGACTTTCTTGGCAAACTTTATCCCTTCATCAATCTTATAAATAAAAACAAGAGAGCGAAAAATCTCATAAATAACAACACCTCATTTTAATCCTCCCTATCTTTTTTCGCTCTTTCGTTTTGCTGTACCATTTGTAATACTTATAATGTCAAGAATTGTAAAATTTGCTCTCGTACCAAGTTTCCCAGACCACAGGAGCCTATCTACCTCGATTTTCGTAGCACGAAACGTAAACAAGTACCGCTGATCCCCTAAATAGGAAGCTACTCCGTGTCATGTAACCTCTCGGCACTTCACGAAGTCTCTTGAGCAGTTCATGGGTATTCACTTATACTCCACGATGGAGAGAAGCACTGTGATAGTGGAGTGCCTCGGCCCAGGACACAACATAATGACTCGGCCAGGGTTGACGACAGCACAATCCTATCCTTTCTTCACGTGATTACGTTTTAGAAATCTGAGTGGAGGTCCACTCAGTTTCTAATTTAACAACCTTGCTAATCCGAACACTCCATTATTACAACCAAATACTATTCTTTTTTATTTTCATCCAATTTTTTTCTTAATTCAACGTCGTAATCACGAATAGCGATAAGATTAAAATTGAAATTTAACCGTGGCATCCTTTAGCTTTAATGAGTCTTTTGACTGAAAACAAACTACAATTCTGATCACTTGACTGAGTGCAGTTGTTCAAGTTAAGAATTAAAAAAATGTTTTAACTATATGAGGAATGGCTTCCAAAAAATACTGGATATCTTAAATCAAGGAAAGAGGAACAATGAATCCTGGGTAAGGAAAAAAATGCGTCGCATTACATAATTATTCAATTAATTCCCCAAAATAATATTATTCCGGTCTTCCTAAATGTTCCGTGTTAATGTACTTCTCGACTTCCTTCTACAAAGAGTAGTATTTTTAAGTTACTTAACCCCGCCATTACGGCTAGGCTGCTGATAGAAAGGATTCTTTCATCAGAGTTCTCATACATTTATAAGACAAACCCTATTTCTACATTCTACACTAATAAAAGAAGCAAATTTTCATACCATGTGAAGGCTGTTAAAACAGAGCTTAGCAGCATAAAGGCAGACTAAGGAGTCCTCTGGTCGAAGCTGATGACACTGCTTGAGAACCATCAGGGCTCTGTGATACTAAGGGCAGTAGAGAAAGTCAATTTACAATGTTAAAAAAGCTCCTCTGTTTACAACTGTGAAACAGTTTCACGAGAAACAACAACATCAACGAAAAAACCTATTGGATCACTTCCCAACCTCTTTCCCTACAAGTAGCAGAGTAGCAAATTTGCATGACTTAATTCGACTGAAAATTCGTAGTGATTGATCAGGCAATAAGGTCTATTTTCTTGGTTAGTTTCCGTGAAAGCAAGACATAGTCAAAATAGTCCACTGCTTGTCAACCCTTTAACACCCTAAGAGTGACTGGTATCTAATTTCTCCTTACCATATCACCCCTGAATCAAACATTAAGGTCACAAGAATAAAGGAAGTGATCACCAGCTAAAGAAGCTCTTGATAATTAGACAAATTCTCCTTTTCATCACCTTAGGAAGTGTTTAGAGAACAGTATGGAGAATATGCATACTGATGTTAGGGTGTAAAGGATTAATAACAATGAACTTCAGATATGGAAACACATACTTTGCCTGCGCTGATCAGAGACAAACCAAACTGAAACCACAGGTGGAACTCTTCAAAAGCAACTTTCATCCCTCTGTCAAAACACTGAAACACATTAAAAAAAAAAAAAATTGGTATCATCTTTTTCTTTGCTCTCATTGGCTCTTATGGCTAAGTTACTATTGAAGTTTTGGTATTCTGACAATCTGTGAAAAAGTGCTCTTAGAAAGCTTATTGCTACATTCTAACCTCTGCTAACATGCCATACTGAGCTCTCCTGACCAGTGCCACTGTTAGTAAGTCATACGCATTCTCAGAGTCTATCACTGTCTGTTGCCTAGCTGTTGATCTTTCTGGAGCTTGACTTAGCTCTGCATCCTTAGAGACCTGAAAAAACAAAACCAAAAAACAAACAAGTAAAATTCAACAGTATTCTAATAAGCTTGAGGCCACCAAAACAATGAAAATCAATCAGAGGACAGAACTAAAACAAGAGATAACAATATTTCTGATCAAATTTCAAGAACAAAACAAAGAAATTGCAACTTCTTCATAAAACAAGTAAAGTGTATGTGACTACAGTGTCTGTTACACATCCAGTTTGAAAATCATGGTTGTTACTTCAGTGCTATTAAATGCTTCCCTTTAGTACAAGTTAGAAGTATTTTACACAACATTACTACAAATAGTATATTTACTACTAACAATAAATAATTATACCTAAACCTGGTGGAAAATAAATTTATCACAAGGCAATATTTACCTTATCTTTAAACCTACATGAAAAACAGAACAATTCTAAACAACAGAAAAAACAAACAAACAAAAACTCAGTTTTAAACAAACCATACCATAGCCTCCTCCAAAAGCAAAAGGAGCAAACTCTCTTCTGTTTCATTCCTGGGGAAAAACAAACTGCAAGAAAAAAAAAGTACACATCATTGCATGGGGAACAAAGTAGCCTCATAGGTAGTGTATGGGACACCTCTTCAATGTCTTGGGTCCTGTTGTATAAAGGCTGGATAACACTGTCCAGTGGATAAATCACTATCCAGCAGATAAGTGTAAACAAAACATACTGGGCTATCCACCAGAGAGAGATTTATACTGTGGATAGCGTTATCCATGCTCGAACAACTGGACCTGGTTTAGTTGATTAGGATCATCATTTTGTGTTCTTGGGCAAGCTGGAAAACACACCCTACAAAATGTCTCTTTCTTCCAAGAATTATAGATCAGATCCAGTTAACTGTCTAGGAAACTTGACATACATGTATTGCTGAGGCATTCTTAATGATGAAAGGACTGGAATGCTATTCACAGGAGTGGCCATATTCCTAAACCTTGTTGGACAAGATGTATGTTTTGAGAAACTTGTCAAAAATTTGTAGACACTTTTCCAAAGGCTATGTTACCCTAGGAACTCTTAAACACAGTCCATGTCATTATTTCAGGTGTACTTTTAAATGAAAGTGATAAAATCACTTGGTTTTTAGATCAAACTTCACCATTCAGAGAATTTCAGTAAAACTCTCTGGTCAGCTTGAAGGACTTAAAAAAAAAAGGCACAGATAGGCTCATCTCATACCTTTCTCCATTGTACATTTGTGGTTTTAGAGGAAAGGTTGCATGCTTGCAAGTGATAACATTACTTGAGGTGGCCTTCAAGTCCATCTTGGATCCAGATTTCAGTGACGATGTTGAGCTTATCAGTGGAGAGCTGGGCAGTAAGTTTAAAGGTTTTTCATAGCTCCTCTCACAAACTCCTCGTAAAAGAACCTGTGCCAGTTGTTTGGCTAGTCCCTGAACACATTTGAGGTTTTGTAAAAAAAAAAAAAAAAAAAACGACAACATTTGAGAAAGAGAGGTTTGATCACAGGTGGCTTGATCACAAGCTGCTACTGGCTGTTAAACTCCCTAAAACTCTGCTACAATGATCAAAAGTCGTTAGACAATGCATTTACCTTTCTCAAGCCAAGAGTAGTTCTTGTCTCCACCACTCTCAACATGTGCCTGAATCTGTTGATGCCATCAATAATTTTCCTGTTACAGTATAAAGACATAAATTAAACTCCATCTCTAAAATGAAAATCAGAGCTTTCCCTTTTTTTACTAAATTAAATAACATCACAGGGGACTTTGGAGCCTACAAACATAATGTGGACAAACTTAACATGCACAACAGTATGCATGTGCAGCAGAAAGTGCATCTGAGTAAGCCTGGGTATTACTCACCCATTCTTGATAAGAAGCACTGGGGCCCTTTGAATTGCTATCTCCAGGGTTCTTCCTAACTTTGGCATTTGTGATGTTGTTACAGTCCTTTGTGAAGATGTCTGGTCAGTAATTAGCCAGAGTCCTATGTCACCAGCGCATTCATAACAAGCAATAATGTCCTCATCACTGATGTCTGACTTTCCAATTGACTGCAACTGTTCAAGAGCCATTGCTGAGAGTATAAGATACATAGTCAATAAAAAACATTTCTATAACCCATTTAATATTTTGCTCCTAAATGATTGGTCTACATGCATCATTTGACTAAACATACCATGGCTAAAACTTTGGATTGTCTGGTAATGTTTCCAATATTGACTTTTCCCAACTTAAATTTTACATCTGGTAAAATGAGAGTTATATGTTTTTCAAGATGGGAGAGCATTTTGCTATCATTGCAAATGAAAAGACCAACTTGCTTTTAAACCCTTTTGCACCTAAGAGTGATAAGCATCTAAATTCTCCCAACAGTATCAACCTTGACTCAAACATTAAGATCACAAGATTAAAGGTAATGATCACTGGCTCTGTACCATGAGAAATGTATATAGAAAAGTGTTGAGAACTTGCATACTGATACTAGAGTTAAAAAGGGTTGACACAATCATACCAGAGAAACTGAATATCAACAAATCCCTGCAGCAATTATTCCTGGCACCAAGGTTCTTTTATAATAATTTGGAGTTCTTGAGCCAGAAATGTAGCATTTTGTGTCAAACTGAATCACTTGTTCTTATCAGTGCATGAAAAACAATACCATGGAGATATGATTTATCAGTCTGCAAAATCAGCTGCTGGAAAGGAATCTTACCTTTGTGAGCAAAACCTTCAGCAACCAGTTTTGTTTTCCTCTTAAGTTGTGTATCCATGTAGATGTCTTCCATTCCAGCTTGTTTGCAGTATTCTACACAACTTTGAAAGTCTTCCAATACAAAATGAGCTTTGCAAAGCAAAAATAAAGCTTCTTGTTTCCTCTCTACCTGTTCAATCAGAAGATAAGTTATGGTTCAAGAAAGAAAAAAATTAACAATCTGATCTTGGAGGTCAAATCATTAATTTATTTGGATAGGTATCTGTTTACAGTATTTATCTATCTATCTATTACTTCATTCATTTATTTATTTTTTGATTTATTGATTGGTTACTGGTGTTGCCACTGAACATTGACATTTTGTTTAGTTTTTCTTATTTTTTTGTCATTTGTACGCATTGTGTGCCATTGCTTTAGTGACTTTTAGGCTACGTGATTTACACAACCTCATGGGTGAAAAATGTGAAAATAAATGGTTGAGTTCAGGGAAATAGTCCTTGTTTTTGTGGATGAAGTGCTTTTACGAGGCAACTGGTGATTCATTTGTTTACTGCTTACATACCTTTCCCAACTTATCTTGAGAAACCAGTTTTTCAAGATTTGAGATAGTTTCCCCTAAACTTTTCTTAGCCTGAACAGCATCTGTTGTTCCAAGAGGATGATCTCTGAGGTATATTTCAAGCCGGGATTCACTGATTAGGAACTTTTTTATTGTATCTGTAAATGACAATTAACCCTTCAACTCTAAGAAGTGATAAACATGTAACTTCTCCCTATAATAAATATATGTTATCCATCAGACTAGAATGAGAATACCCAAAGTTATCAGGTAGAAGTTGTTATCTTGATCTAGCACCAAATTCCTGCAACTTCTTTATAAGGAAATGTGTAGCAGCTAGAGGGGAATTTATTAATTGAAAATCAGATCAGATACATGTAAATGATACAGCTTTATATAGGAGATCCAGTTTGGCCACATAATGAAATTTAAGGTTTCATTGTTTTTAAAATTATGTATTACAAGTCCTCTTCCACTGATGACTATTAAAGATTAAATGTGTCTCATTCATTGGATGGTGTCATCTGGAATGTTACTCCTACTGTCCCCAGAGTGAATATACTTTGTTTAATTAACCTTTCTCCAGTCTCTTTAAACTTTGAAAAACCTGTAAACCCTGGAAAAGCCTCCATCACTTAAAATTCTAAATGACCCCAAAGAGACTGATGCGAATCGATTCTACTTCCGTTAAAATTCCCAAACATAACCTCACAACATTTGAATGAACGACTGAATAAACATTGGCAAGGTGACTTCCTCTAAAAATGATTTCCTTGAATCTGAATCTTCCCAGTGACGTTTGAAAAATTTGTGACATATCTCAGTGTCTGCCAATATCAATGTAACCTTGTTTAGATTTCGAAATAATTTAATGGTGAATGTAAACATTAAAACCAGACGGAGAGGATACTCTTCAATTAAAGGAAACAATTTTTCGACGCATACACAAAACTTAAGAATTATTGAACAAAAATTTTACCTTCTAGTATCCATGTTGATGAAAATTTAAAGTAAAATCCAGCTGATAATTACCAAAAAAATTACTTAATGACAACAAAAACTCACCTATACTTGGTTCACTTGTAGTCCGACTCGATAGCTGATCGACCAGTTTTGGAATATATTCCCATTTTTCCTCCCACCGTGAACGCTCTATTTCATTTTCTAAACTAGTTTTGGATCTTCGAGCCATCTCATTTCACGAAAGCGTGTTTTGAAGTAATGTACAATATGTCTGGGGAACAACTACCAGACGGCCATGTTTGTTTTCAACCAGAGGGCGCATAGGACTGGGTTCTACTTAATTCAAGACTTGTCATGTAAGAGCACACAGAAAGTCCACGAGCAACCTTCTTTAAGTTTGTCCCAGTTCTTGGATAGTGTTCGTTATTTACTACCAAGATTAAACATAATTGATAGTGAGGAAATGATATTTTCACTCCACGAAGTATTCGATCATTATGAACAACTTTCAGTTACCATCACGTGCTCCTCTTTCCTCAAAAAAATCCCGTTTAATCCCTGGGGTAATGTTATTTCGTTTTGGTCCGGTTTATGATAGAGGGTTTAAAAACGGAGGGATATTGGTTGGGGGAGGGGGGAAGCCCCGTTTCGCAACCAGCTGATAACGAAAAATGCCCGTGGGAACAAACAGCTCTCTAAAATTTCCCTTATTCCCATCGTCTGACTTCGTGACTCAGTTAGTAGCACACAACTGCTATTTAGGGTGGGGGTAATATTTGCAAACCCCGTCGAAACATGAGCTTCGTACTCTGCAGTTCCTTTGATCACTGTTAACCTATGAAGATCATTTCGTTATTGGTTACTACTAACAAGTTAAAGTTTAACTTTCTGCACTTATTTGTGATCAAAATTCAGCCCTGTTACTTTAACTGAACATGAAACAAAACAAAACAAAACGCGATCAAATCTTGACTCAGTTGTAAGTTACAAGGTTGATCACGGCTCTCCACTCTCCGCATTATTTGATGAGACACTAAAAAAGAAGCTTTAATACATAAATTTGAAAGCTCGGCTTATTTACATTTTCAGGTGAAGTGAAGTTACTACGACTTAGGAGGTATTTGAAGTGAAACAGAAAATAATTAACTCATTATAAGTGATACACATCTCTGCTCAGAGAAAAAGGTCAAAGACGGGATTGACCCGTTCATTCGATACCAATTTGATTATATCATTCATACGCACAGTTACCTTTTGCCAACGCTTTGGTTGTTCAATATGGTTTGCGTTCATGTTTACCGTAGAAAGGGATTATGATAGGAAATAGATTGAAGGTTATACCACAGACTGCCAATTAACGAGGCGTGGACTATTTCTTTTGAAGCCTCGGGTTCGCATAACTGTCTTGAATAATACACACATGAGAAATTGCTCCAATGCTGAAGTTTCTAGAAGACACGTCAGTCAATATGTCCTACAGCGCTACGTAATTTCTTTCATGTATAACAAGTAGTTATTTACATATCCATTTTATGTACAACTTGAAGGGGGAAAAAAAAACGTCATCGCCTAAATATTAGACCTCCCTTACATACTTAGAATAGGTGAAGGTCTAAAATGAGGCTAAATTAAACTGACTCATAGATAGGTTGCAATGGCTGGCAGATTGTTCTCGAGATGTTTGATTCATTTCTTCATAATTCGTAGGAATTCTGCAACAATGTAGAAAACATATGTTAGCATCTTTGTTGTAGAGAGTTATGCAGTGGAAACATTGGAGATTTCTTGCAAGAATAATTTCCAAGTAGTTCTGAAAAATTGCTGTAACGAACTTTAGATTTATTGATACCTCTGGCATTGTCTGTGTCTATTTTGATTAAATTTGATTATGTTACTGAATTTTAAAGGCCTCCCGTAAGGTCAGGACACCAATGACATCACCCTTATCTAATCTTTTTTTTATCCAGTGTAATGCATCGGTACCCTAAAGTATTACCTTCGTAGTTTACCCTGCCGTCTCCATCCAGGTCGACTTCCTTGATCATATTTTCCACAGCAGCATCAGTGATCTGTTCCCCTAGGCTCGTCAGGACGAAAGTTAATTCTCGTTTGGAAATGTAGCCGTTGCAATCTGTGTCGAAAAGTTGAAATGCGTCCCTGAGATCGTCTTCAAATGTGTGCTCGCCCATCTTGTTGGCCATTACTTCTAGAAACTCTAGGAAGTCAATGGAACCATCACCTGAAAGAAACGTAAAATTCTACATCAAAGGTTTTACAGTGGAGTAAAGAAGGTGTCGGGCTAAGAACGTAAGTGAGGCGTTCAAAGTGTCTTTCACTGGATCAAAATGGTATTAATTTGCCGTAGTGAAGTTCCTTAAATTAAAAAGACACTTTCTTTGTCGTAGTTTTACTTTAGGCATGGAAAAGGGGTAAAAAGAAATGCAAGCGGAGTAGATGAAAGGAGCAACATTTTGGTCAATAGCGGTGAAGGAACGGACAGGGGTTTGGAACTCAGTAGGGGGGGACAATTCTTGTTCATTTATTTGTTGATACCCACCCCGTCTTAGTCATTGCCAATAGAATATGCAGCTACGAAGTTAACGTTTCTTAAGCAGTCTTTCTCATAGAGATCGATAAACAGTACGCACACTATTTCCAAACCCGTCGATTTTAGATGTTAATGAAGTTATTTACTCATTAAGGATCCTTTTTGAACATACTCACCGTCTTGGTCAGCTTTTTGAATCATTGCTTCAACCTCTTTCTTTGTGGGACTTTGACCCAAAGAGCTCATTACTTCACTCAGTTCGTCTGCTGTTATTCTTCCGTTGCCATCTTTGTCAAAGAGTAGGAACGCTTTCCTAAAGTCTGGGTGAAAATAATTTTTTCTGTTATTCAAATTCATATTTAAGAAGAACAGTGGGGGGTTTTGATATCTCCTACTGCGCTCTAATTAATTTTCTGAAATAAACTGTTTCCCCATGCAAACTCTAAATGTAAAATGTAAAATTTTTTAAAAAAATTTGAATTTGCTTACCTTCTATTTGCTCTTCGGTTAATTTACTGGAAGCCTTAAGTGAAATGAAAGAACATAAGAACTTGGTCAGCTTAAAACGCACATTAAAGATAAATGTGTAACAGTACATGGATCAGATATATTAGTTGGTTTGTCACAGTTACCTTGACTTTATTTTCACCACTGCTCAACGCTTTAACTCCCAGAAGAGAATAACATGAAACTTCTCCCTATAATATTCCTACATTATCCAGCAAACAGGTGATGAGAATACTCAGACTTATCTGGAAGATTTTTGTTATCCTCATGTAACACCGAATTCTCTTAACTAATTTACAAGGAAATATGTAGCAGCTAGAGGGGAGAGTTGAAAATAAGATCTTGGGAGTTAAAGGGTTTCTCACTCTCATCCTTAAACAAGCCTCACCTTTTTTCAGGCTTCTCAGTTTTCACCACTGCTTAGGTAGTGTTCATTACTGCAATAATTACTCTCATCTTCAAACAACCCTGAAATTTTTTTCGGGCTTTGTTTCAATTACTGCTTAAGTAGAGTTTATTATTGTGATGGTCACTCTCTCCTTTATCTACTAATCAATCGCACTTCAAACATATGATGTTCACATATTCACAGTCCTTTAAAGTGATGCCTTCAAGTTTTAGATCCCTGACGATAAACAGATAGGTTCGTTATCATTATTCGCTTTGCTTTTTTTCAAAATTGTTTTAATTGCATGACACATATTACTTTCAAAATATCATTTATTTATGTCAAACAACCAGTGTCGTGTAATTTGAGAAAAGGAACAAATTTACATAACGAAATAGTAAATATTTTTGAAATAACGGTTGAATTCACATGCATCAAGAATTTATTGTCTTATATTTTCTCCTTGGAAACCATTCTATTATCGTGGCGAAGTTGAGGTATCTTAATAAACTGAAAAAAATAAATTTAATTTAAAGTTCCAAAACACCTGCATGTTTCTTGGTTGTTAAATCGTTTAAGCGTTCGTATGACAACAGATTAGCTAATTTTGAAAGTAATTCGAAGAGATGCGTTTTGTTTCTTTTGTAACTAATTATTTGCAATGACCTAATATCTCCGTTTTCAGCTACATCACGAAATCATCTTGCAAATGACTGAACGTCTGCCTTCCGGGGTACGATTCAACATAACATACACTCGATATGACAGTTTGTTCTCGTCACTGATTCGAGGATTTTTTCTCGAAATTCTATATTATTTCTCCCTACTCAAAAACCAACGCTTAAAATTTTTATTCAACCTGGAATCAATGGGCGAAGTCCAAATTAGATGTGCCACAGCCAAATTCTATTCCTACAATGCCTCAATGATGTCACACAAGGCTAAATACCCACAATTCCACTTACCATTTCTTTTTCATCAAAGCGGAAAAGGTCACAGTTTCTCTCTAACAAGATTTGCTAATTCCCTGATATTTGTATAGTCGCTCGTGTTCCTTGCCAAACTCCGGCTGCTTCATGGCATAGGCTCTGTTTTGTTAAGCCTCTGTGGCTTTAGTCAATTAGAGCATTAATTTTTCATCATGTCGGTGTAGACCTCCCAGAGTCAAAGACATTGATAACTTGAAAACCCCTCAAATTGTAATATTTTGATCAGAACACGGAGCTGCTTACTTGCGAAGCAATTTACAAATCTAAAACAGTGTAAATACGCGAATGGTTTGCATATTCCAATATGAAAAGATTTCAGTGACAAAGATAACACAGGTTTGAAAGTCATATGATGTGAGACCATCAGCTGACAAACTCATTATACAACTTGACATACACTTCTGCACAACAGCTCGGCGGATCCGAAAAGTGTAGACCACAAAGCATGAAACGACATTAAAGACCTTCCTACCTTTTTGCTCAATGTTTATACAAATTTTCATCCATCCAGCCGTTGTTTCATTTGAATAAAGCACTTACATAAATCACAAACTTATGCGAGACAGGAGATATTTCCTATAGTCCCAGTAACGCAAAAATTCATACTTAAATTGAGAACAATTAAACATCTTAACTTCTCAGATGTTTAAAGCGATGTAAAATTTTCAATGCTTTCAATACCTGATTCTCGACCATATTTTCCTTGACCTCAGTCATACGCGAAATAGTTCAAAGCTTCTGAGGCGATAATCTTCCAGCGATTAATTATTAATAGAATGGTTGTCCTCAGACACATCATGGTCAGTTGTTGTGGTGAGTTTAAGAACTTGTTACTAAGAACGAATAAAAAAGCATCATCGATTTTGTCCCAGTAACACGACCTCTGAGAGGCAGTGCCTTTACACTGTGGGAAACTTTTATGATCTTCTTGAATCCAGAACCTTCTCAGCGCGAAACGGCAGAAAGCTTGAAAACTTCCTTCGTAATTGAAAATGTAGCCATATGCTCAGTGTTAATTCTATACAAAGAATCTACCGAGTGGCGGACAAGAAAAACGAGCATGAAAACTGTAGAATTTTATGACCAAGACATTTCTTTAAGAATATCTATTGAACCGGATAACGATAAACCAATCAGAATTCGAGCTCAAATCACATGACCAATGAAAAGCCAGGAATTTTACATCCGGCATCGCACGAATGGACTGAGGGATCAATATCCGTTAAACAGCTTAGTATTATTGGTGATATGATGTTAAAAATGCGGTCTTCTTTCCGAAATCAGTCCTAAATTCCACTTACAGCCCCTGAAAATTGAAATTACCCTGCTTCCTAATTTGAAACTCATCTGAATAATAATGTAAATGAAAATGATTGGTTTTTTTTTAGCATGGTGCTCAAGGAAAAAAGGCAAGAAGTAATGGGATTAATTTCTTTATTGGATATGAAAGGCATTGAAAAAAATTCTGTTAACTCCCTACAGACGTAGAACCTATGATTATTTGAAATTTATTCTATGCGAATCTGGTGAAATCAACACATGTCGCTATGTTTTGTCGGCTTTTTCAAGTTGTTTTCTTTTACTCAGGATGCGTGTGAATCATGCATAATTAAATCTACCGTACTCAAAATTTTTGAAGTTTTTTTTCTTTAATTTCAAGCGCCGGGAGTGTAAATTAACAAAAATTATTCGCCCCATATAAATTTTTCAGCTGCCGTGGTTTCGCAAAGATCAGCTCAGGTCTTTTTTACGTTCGCGTGTAATCTATGCTTTGTTGAGCAGGTACATGTATTAAATATTCACGCAGCACGTCCGAAATGCAGGCTATAGATATACGAAGCACGTTATCAAAACTTACCTTGAATTAACTCCCTAAAATATTTGTAAAATAAACGAAAGTTTTCAACATTTGGTTTTTCCAAGTAAACAATATTAAGGTAAACCATAAAAATAAAGAGTGGATGTCATATTATACAACTGTTTTATAACCGAAATGAAATGCACTGAGTAAAGAGCCACTGGTAAATTATTTAATAGAATAAAAGTTAAAATGCACATCTGTAATAGTTTTAAAATAGCTTTGAGTTCCATAAATACTCCGTGTAGCTGGTTGAAAGCTGTTTAGCGTTTAATTTATCAAGCGGAGTGTTTCTAATTTAACCTGCACTTGAAGCAAATTTTTATCAAAATTGGGCGTATCTTGGAAACTCCTAGCTTATCATTGCATTACAAGAGAAATTAATGTATTTTTCTATCGTCTTTTACTGCCAAAAAAAAAAAAAAAATTTCAGTTACTTTGAAGCATTTCGAAAGCGTATTCGACCATATGTTTCGTCTCGAAAATCTTAAAGCCACTTCAATTCTTGAAAGATATCCCAGCAACATAATTTTGCGACAAATCTAAAAAGAATACGTTTTGCAAGAATTTACTTCAAAAGTTTTTTTTTACATTAGCGGAAGAAGCGTCTTTCAAATATTGTTTTCCTACATATTCTCTACTCACCATATTTCGATAGCGGTGGAGGAGGGATTGAATTTATGATAACAACATTTATCTCACGTCAGTTATGTAAAGAAGTTGTTCGACTAACGCAGGATCTCATTAATTTCTTTGAACAGTTTTCACAATAGAAACACAATCATTTTGGCATAAAAAAGCTTTTTCAAATGAAAATTTAATGAATATCAGTATGTTGAGCTTGAGATTTATGCTAAATTTTGAAGCAAAAAGTTAAGCAAAATCGACTTACCTTACGAACAGTAAAAGCCATTGCACAGCCTTTTTTGCTAATCACTTTAAAACGTCAAAATATTACAAGGAACCACCAGTAAATATTTAAATTTAGCCCATAAATTAGATTTACTATTCTGGTGCATGCTAACAGCCTTCCGGTTTCAGTAAACATCGGGGAATATTGAATGGTAATAACTTACATGTTGCTAGCCTCCCGGCGACTGATAAGTTTCACAGTATGCTCTGTAATTTCTGAATGGGTTAATATTTTTCGTGGTAAAGTCAGCCTGTTCTTAATTTAAATAATCATTGGTCGAGTAACCAGAAAATAGGCATCCAGCACACTGAGAAGGTAAAACTTAGACACCGGTAAAGTCCAATTTTGTTTCTTAAAATTTTAAAGTAATGAGTTAAAATGTCAGAGTTTATTTTTCGCAGAAGACCTTAAAGAAAAGAGGGAAACGTTTTCGTATCACGCAACGCTGTCATAATCTCTCAAAACCTTCCTACTTTCAGGATGTAAATGCCAATTTTCCACACTCTCAGCTATACAGTTTTTTAATGGTATTAGCTCTAACTATCTAATGTTGATTAAAACAATACCCCGAGTTGATGATATTCCTATTTCTCATAATCTCTCTACTTGAAACTCTTTTGATATCGTAAGGAGAAATGTATCTTTGGTCCATCACGGGAGTGAAAGCTTTATGAAATTTGGCAATCCAGGGATTTTCCCGTTCTGGTCCATGCATGTCGTAAGAAACAAACCTTTGCATAGATGCTGTTCAGTTCGAAAGTTTCTCTTTCCATTATTAAGAGAATTCTTAATATCTCATCGACCATATTTTTCCTAGAATCTTATCCCATTCGAATCCGATGTCCTTTACTACTGAACTGATCACGATAAAACAAATCGTCTTATTTTTCTCTCAGGAAACCGGTAAACAACGACACAGCAACTCTAAATGATAAATTGAAATAACTTCAACAATTTTTTTGGCAGAGTTCAGAAGATTCTGGGGGTGTACAATTGAGCTCTTTTTCGCCTATGTTCAAAATCAATTTTGGGAAAATCGAATAAGCTGATATATTAATCAGATAAAATTTTTATTTCATACTATAGCGAGAACTGAACGCGCTTAGCTCGCAGAGCAGGCGTAATTTTGGCGGTTGAGTGCTTAGTATTATTATCTTTTTACAGCGGCGGAAGGCTGGGGAGAGAAAGAAATTTGTACCGAGGGGGGTGAGTGACAGTCAGCTAAAACTCTACATCAATGAATGATCGCAACCCTCGTGATGTTAACGGGCTATCTTGGGTGATCCTCAGATCCTTTTATTCAAACCTATAATTAATTCAAAATTCCCTTTCAAAAACTTTTAAAATACTGAAAGAAAGAAGTAATTCCATTCAGGTCCGTAGAGGAGAACCTGAGTTTTTATATTCCAACATAGCAAGCACAGCTGGTTTGAGTTTCCAGATGACTGACACAGTTAGGTAACATATTGCGGTTTGAGATTATGAATTTTCTTTTTACACTGGGTAATACTTTCATTTGTTTTATTCTAATTATTTAAGAGGTTTTAGATATGGAAAATATTAATCCAGTAAATTCTACACTGGTTTTTTACATTTGAATGCTTCACACCTTGAAGAATATCAGACAAAACAGTATATGAAATTAGGAGATCCTCGCAGCTAAGAACACTACTGAAACAAGTAGTTGTAAATAGGACCTGAAAAAAAAATTTCAGGCCCGTACGGGATTTGAACCCATGACCTCTGCGATACCGGTGCAGCGCTCTACCAGTTGAGCTAACAAGCCAACTGGGAGCTGGCCAGAGGTCAAATTGCGGGTATTCTTTCAAGATGCCTTTGTCATTTGTTTCCGACCATTATTACACGGAAGCTGCGAAAATTATTAAAGAACCTCCGGCAGCCCTGCCGAAGTGCGAATTTCATGTACACAGGCATTCGCAGGCATGTCTCCGTAGCACCTCAACGAGCAGCGCTGCAGAGTTCATATACCATCGAGAACAATACTGTTGATTGTGCTTTCACTGTTAAAGGGTGTTTGTTGGCTTAGCTGTTTTAGCCATTCCCAGAATTTTGATGACAAATAGCATGCTGAGTTTCCTTGCAAAATGAAAACACCATTGAAACTCAATCGACTGTCAACGGCTTGTTGTTTGTAATGCCTAAAAGAAAAAAAGAGAAAGTTTCTCGAAGAGCAGACGACTCAATTTATATCTTCATGTATATTGAAGCGCAGCCGATGGACAGCAAATCTGAGCAAATTTAGTCGAGTAAAGCCAAACTACTCAGGGAAAACACATTCTTTGTACTGACGTCGAGCAGAGAATAACCGTTCGCAGGTGTGTCTTTCTAATACGTTCTATGCCTTATGTTTCTAGCTTCAATGAGGAATTCTGCAGCTTTTCGCCTCAAGGCTACCTATAATACGCTCCTACTGTTCG